GGGGTGTGACTGTTGGTTAATTACTCGAGGGGTGTGACTGTGTGTGAATTACACAAGGGATTAGACTGTGGGTATTACACGAGGGTTGTGACTGTGGGCCAATTACACGTTATTGTTGTGTTCATTGATAAGGGGATACACCTATGCTATTAGACTTAACTGTAATTACAATAGATCATATCAGTTGTATATACTTGTTCTTTGATACCATAAAAGAACATCTTATAAGATTAGTAAACTCTTACTGATGTTGTCAATGATGAAATGCTGCTAGAGCGCTTCGACTTTATATGGCGTTAAAGAGCATTTTCTTTCATGAAAATTCCTATCCCTCCCATATAAAATATGACGTATTGTTTGAAGGTGAACGCTCTCGATTATACTTTCTTAACACTGGTTTTTAATGCACGAGACCTGTTCCCAATTCATGTACCGAAGACAGGACAGGCTCAATGTAAAAAATATACATGATATGGTTTTTGCGTTCAAGACCCACTCTGAGAGCCCAATATCTATTTTTCTTACAGGATCTTCTGTCTGAGGACCGATACTTAGTTGTTGCTTAATTTTAAAATCTAGAACAAGAAAACAATATTAGTTATCGACAGCAATCTTTATTTGAACCTACGGAAGATGGCATTGAAATCATATTTAAAAGACAAAAGAAGTTGTTATCAATAATAGTTGTATTCCTTCCTAACAGGGTGGTGTATGAAATAGCAAAATCAGATGCGAATGATAAAGTTCATTAAATTAGCGGTTATAGCACTAGACCATTTTCTAAAATACTTTGATTAATAACACGTAGGCATTTAGGCATTTATATAAATATCTATAAAATATTATTCTGATCATATTTTTACATCTAAGATATTAAATACTGTCCGGTCTTTCTGAATATTTGTTTTGTTTTTGTTTTTATATGCCAGGCAAGAAACAGAATCAACACAAAGCATTTTGTATTTACTAGCAATTCTGATGGTGACCCGTGCCGGTAGAGGTACCACTAGATGCCATGAAATGTTTTCCTAACATCTATTACAAATTGAATCACATCTTCACAATGTCCTTGAAAATCTTACAACGACACCTCTTATCATTGTATACACAATTTGTCCGAAGAGAGGCAACTCCTAGATTTTTATAAATGTTGCATCGACTCGAAATAGTTAATAAAAATATGTCCCGATTTAATTTAAATGTCATACTTATTAGAAAAGAAAAAGAAAGTATTTTTTCCGACGATAGGAACGTCGATAAGACATTTATTAATTTGAATTAATTCGTGGGTTAGCTACAATAAAATCAAACAAGTACACGGTATAACTGTATAATGCGACCAAAGAGAGATAACTCGTACATATAATTTTACTCTACACCAAATTGTGATGGAGCCGAATTTGTTTGCAATTTAATATAAATATCAACTTAATCTATTTCACAACAATAATGAAAGAAGTTATTTCAACTTACCACTCTAGTTTGCCCGGATGTAAGTGCACAATGGGTCTTAGTGTGGGAGAGTACCGGAGTGCCCGCAGAAAACCCACGTGATCGGGCAGGTAACCCTCAATTTTCGCGTCCATTCCGGGAATCGAACTCCAGACAACTAGGTGAAAGGCGAGTGCGTTACCACTGCGTCATCCGACCCCCAAATTTTACAATTAAAAGTCTTATTGCGACAAATAAAGTAGTGAACACTGCTAGAGCTTGGGTAAAGAATAATTTATCTAGAGTCAAGTCTAGTTGTCTATTTTTTCATTGTTCATACAAATGAATGATGTGCATAAACTGGAGAAAAATATGTATTTGAAAGAGAGTAATGAAAATCTGAAGGAATCGTCTACATGTATATATATGAATATTTTGGAAATGGTCTTCCTTCAGTGGGGAAATGATAACTTTGCCAAAATCGCATATCAGGACTGTGTATTGTGATAATAGAAATATTTCCCAGGAAGGCCCGTTCTAAAGATTCCTAATATCATTTATATTAGTCCCGCCATCGTGCGTCTTAAATACTCCTAGTCCGAATGATTCCGACTATCTATCCCCCACCAAGACAAAATAATATCGCGGTATTCAGAACCCTTCGGACTACAATGCTTCTTTAACGAAAATTAATCTAATGACGCCATGATAAACTTTATTTATTTTACAACAATTGCGAAGGAAATATTTCCAACTTATATTAATCACTCTTGTTTGGCTCGGATGAAAGCGCACGAGGAGTCTTAATGTGGGAGGAAACCGGAGTATCCGGGGAAAACCCATAAGGTCGGGCAGGTGACCCCATACCTTTTCACATCAATTCCGGGATTCGAACCCCGGACGGCTTTGTGAAAGGCGAGTGAGTAACCACTGCGCCACCCGACCACCTATGGCGCTACAATATGTGGCCCAAACATAAGCAACTTACAATGATTGTGAAATGTAATGATTCTAGCAAGGATTATTCCGTCTAAGTGACACGTAACAAATGCATTTTCTGTATTTGATTGGATATGATTGCTACCATACCGATTTTTTGTCTTTTGATCTTTGATCTTTTGATCTTTGACTGTTACAATGTATAACACTAACAAGCATTGTGATAAATATTGACTATTTGAAAAAAAAACCATGTAAAGGGCAGTTCGAGGAAGAATGTAGATTCCATATGTCGACAACACGATGTTAAACTTTTCTTATACATGTGCACTATCCGATAAACCACTCTGCGTTTTTTTGTTTTGTTTTTGTTTGTTTGTTTGTTTTTATTATAAAAACAGTGATAGAATACCGACATTTTAGCAATTCAAACTCCAAATCTGTTAAACGAAGCTTAGATATGCGAAGATGTGAAACTTTTAACACTGAGTCCTGTATGCATTTAGGTCAAATTAATGTAACGTTCTTAAAGCGAAAACTCGACTGTACTGTGAACATTCGCTACTTTCCTTCGAAGTCGAAATAAAGCGAACGTTCGCCCCTTAATCCTGAAGTTACGAAGTTGTTTCTGACAAATCACAAACACTTTAGTAGGGAAACTTAACAGTTTAATATGTGTCTGTTTCAGTCATCTATTACAGGTAAAGGTCAAGGCCAATGTAATCAAAACTATCACCATGGATACGTACATTGTATATATGTACAAAACGCAAGGCATGTGAACGGTAAATCTGCATTTGGACAGCAAACGTTTATCAGGAAAAAATAAACAGATACACACATATTAAAAAAGCAGTCTTCCAACCCGAAAAAAAAATCAGCATGTACACTTAACCAACATTATTCACACAGAAACAACACACAGACATGTACATCACTGGACAGTATGTACCTGTTATATAATTTCTTGACAGCTAGGCAACACAATACACAAATATGCATAGTGTAATTATTTTTACAATTATCCGTCACCAAACGCCAATAAGTCTACATACACCCAAGCATTTCTGAAAATTCATTGTGTGTGATATAAGAAATTAATTGACCAGAAAAACCTAGAGATGATATGATGAAATCAATTTTCTTTCGTCTAATGGCTTTAACGTGTAGGACCTGGAAGGATGAGTTTGGATGAGGAAGTTGTAGGTTCGGTCACCAGGTAACTGGTGGTGACTATAGCACAAAAACGCTAAAGGAATATTCCGCCTAAAGTTGCAAAATCTCTACCTATTCTGTAAATTTTAAAAATTCATTCTAATCTTTTTTGAAACTATTGTTAACATAAAAAAAAATCTCCCCTTTGGTCAGTTAGGACAGGTGAAATTGACGGGATAACTCCCAGCCATGCCGTCTAAATGTAGCACATCTGGAAATCCGGAACTTACTACCGATGAAGGGAAGGTGTGAACGTTTCAAGTACTGTAGTACTGAACGAAGTATTGATAGTATTGTACTGAAGTACTTCACCAATCGAATTCCTTAAATTTATGCAACAAGCTCTCTGATTGGCAGAGCCAAGTCTAGATCGATTGTGGGTGGAGCCAGGTGAAAAAATACTGTGCAGACATCGGCATTTTACAAACACTCGACTGTCGCGAGAGGTTAATTGGAAGAGTCCAAGTCACAGGTGGCTTCAGATCAGACCTAATTGGGTTGTCCCATTTGTTTCGTTCTACACCCAATGATACCTTGCTTTTCCATCGATGGTACAACGAGAAAACGAAAGTTACTCAGTACTAAACTAATTTACGTACAAAATATATATCAACAGGTTAGATCACTGGGACCGGAGAATTCATAACATCTTAACAGTGAATATAGTCATATAGTCATTCTGTACTAGTTTTATTTATTTATTTATTTATTTATTTTTTGAAAGGGGGGGGGGAGGGTTGGCTATATGTAACAAAGAATTACGAATTACCTGGGACCTCCTGATATATGCCGATAATTCATACTGCATTAAAAAATAAAGGAATTCTGTGGTCCCATATATTTTTTATTTTATTTTTCATCTTTCCATCGAAAATTATACATATCCGCAACATGTGAAAAACTTTGAAGTTGGTTGGGCGGAATATCTAGAGCATTTACTACTGCAAGTTCCAGAAATTCTGACACAAGTCGGGTATTTGCCCGAAGCCTCTGTCTCATGACATTGAATACATATTCAGTTACGTTGTATTAAGGCGGCTGAAAAACCAGGGACACGCCATATTCTTTCAGCATATTTCTTAAAATGCGCTCTCCCTGTCTATGGTGATGGAATCCACAATTATCCATCACAACCACATCGCCTTGTACAAAAACAGGATTCCCCATATCGTTCGTATCGGACATAATTTCGTCGAAGAAAATTTTGCGTACTGTTGCCGTCGTCGGACATTTTTCCAGCGATTACTTAGTAATTGTTATGTAACTGATAGTGTACATTAACTCCGCCTACCGGAACAAATTGGGTGTCAGATCAACTATTCAGGTTGTCTAAACTCCGCCCCCGACCAATCACAGAGGTCGTTGTATACTTGACTCGATTATTTGAATACTTCAATACAATAGTATCAATACTTTGTTCAATACTATAGTAAGTGTGTCGTTCACACCTTCCCTTCATCGGTAGTAAAAGTCACTGGATCATAGATTTTATGCAGAGTATTGGGTAAATACAAAAGTGTGTATGCTGTTCGCGCGAAATTTCTACTGGGGTTACAATTTTACTACTTCATTAGTCTAATATTATGTTGTTTTTTTTAATAATTTATACAAATACTTCAATCTGTTTTAATGCTAGGGCAAACGTTAAAACGTGTGAGGTTATTAACAATATTCCTGCAATACTGAACAAGGAAAAAACTTTATTACAAGTAAAACATCACATATATACAAAATTTATCTGGAATCATTTCTTTGTCAATATGGTTCCAGATAAACTCATTTACTTGACCTTTGAAGTTAATCAAATGTTTCTGAACTCTCTTTAAAAAAAAGGAAATGGCTGTTTCAAACCTTCTACATTTTCCTAATTGCATATTTGTTAAAATATCACAAACAAATGATACCATAAAGTTAATGTGCATTTGTACATAGTTATTTGTTGAGCAAACATTTTGGTTTGTCTACATGAAAAAAAATAATCACTTAAAATCAGGTATTGTAAGATACTTGCATCTAAGTCATAAAGGAAAATTTCCTTCGTTTTTAGACAAAGGTGTTTCTGTCAACATAACAGCTGCAAATATGGATACTTTGTGCTCAAATGTTTCTTTCAAACTGTATTTTTAAAAATCTATCACTACTCTTGCTACAGTAAGATTCATTTCTTGCCGTCAGAGTTTGTATTTCAGAAGAGCATTTATAGAAAGCTGGTATTTTCCCCGCTCTAATAATACATATATTTGTAGAAGTTGAGAGTGAAGGTTTCCTTGCTAGCCTCAGCTAGGGTGAATTTCCCCTTAGTCGAGCGAGAGAGTGTCCAACTACAAATTGAAGGATCGCTAGTTCAACCCCAGTGGTGACAGTGCATCTTTCATTAGTCATTCCTATCACACTTTTATCGAGAAACACAACCGATACACAACAAATGGTTAAAAACATCTCTATGTAAGTATTTGTTTTTTCTACGCCATGGAGCAAATTCTTAATATAAAAATATATCTTACTGATAATCAATTTCAACGAAATTCATCTGTGTTTGTGACAAACTTACTTGGAAAATGTATTATTTTAACAAAATTGACGATCAACTATATTTTTTGCATGGCTGTGGGGATGTGGGGGTACATATCTGAAAAATGAAATTCTAGTTTCTAGTAGCCCCACACATATTGTGTCATGGGACCAAATCAGGATATATCATGTACAGGTCATCAAACACATTATTGGAATTCAAAGACCAGTTTAATGTTTTGAGGAATATATTTGTGTATAATCTAATTTTTAAAGTCATTCAGGAACAGCGACTGTGTTTCCTGTATGCTACCTTGATTTAAAATATAAAACATGACATAAAAAATTATCAGACATTCCAGGACTTCCTCGAGTGACAAGAACTTACTGGAATGTTACACATCTATTTTAAGTATATTTACTCATTGTGACAACAACATATCACTCATTATTTGTGTCTGTGAAAACAACAGGATAAGAGTCGTTGATACAGCAATGCCCATTTTTCATGAATAGTGTTAAAGTTATTTCATGACGATAAGTGACATGACCTATGATGTCCGATCCAGACTAACATAAAGAATCATATACACTGCCACTATGACTAGTAAGAATCCAGTCAGCATCAGCACCACATCCTGTAGACAAAAAAAACATGCAATTAGAGAGAAATTTGAGCTTAAAAGTTACAACAATAATGTTGTCCCAACTCCAAATTATTGATATAGTATTTCTGACCAGGGGCATCATAAAGTATTTGTAAAGATACTGAAAAGTAAAGGGACATAACTCCCATTACACGTAGATAAACACTACCGGAGACTTACCTTAATTCCCAAGGCTGATTGGAGCTTACCAGCCCTATCTTTGCTTTTTTTCACTTCACTTTTACTCTTCTTGTAATCTTGTTTACCTGAAAAGAAGAATTACTTTGCTTATATATGTATATATATATATATATAGAATCTAGTAAGTAATATCGATGGTATGGTCCAATAGCAACAGTACGGACCACCGACTTGTCCAATTTTCTAGGCAATCTGCCCCTTTATCAAGACACAAATATTACATAAATTACACCACATACATAGAACATAAAACAAATACAAAGTTATATATCGAGAACAGTGGTGTAAATTTAGGTGTCTCGGTAATCCCTTCGTCCAATGGATGCCAAAGGCCCTTTATAATGGACAAAAACCCATCCCAAGTTGCCGAATAGAAGATGGTGATTAAAATATCAAAAATGTTTTATATCAATCTCCGTATGTTTTGCACGTTAGACACTGAGCGTATGTGATCGCAACAAAAACAATTGCACGTCACACTATGCGGAAAGTAGTCTACTGATATATATATATATATATATATGATGACTTGACCATTCAAGCTAAGCAAATATATAAACAAATTATTTTTTCTTTAATGTTACATTCAATGATATTTCTCACAAATCTACAAGACTATGACACTTGACCTTATTTTTAGCCCTCTCTCACCTATTTGCTTTCGGTACATGTCCACTGGTGCTCCCCTATTAGCTTGAGTATCTTTCTTGCCCATCTTGTTTAGTGCTACTTCAGGTCCCACTGTTCTCAGACTTGCGTTAAAAACATCCAACACAAAACTGTATCGACATATTGGTCTTCTCTGTTGTCAGTCACATCAAACTCTAAAGTGGAAAAAAACTCAAATTGAGTGTCATACAATGGGTAGAATCATCAAGATGCAAATTTTAGGAAAACAACACAAAAAACCTCAAATCTGGAAGAAATGAAAACAAAACAATTCTTCTTTACCAGTAAGGAAATCCAACAGCTATTAGCAGTCGCGAGAGGCAAAGATTTTTTACCTCAATGGCTGTAAAAGGCAGGCAATGGTTGACTACTTGCCTAAATGGAAGCTGCCACTAGTTGAGACCAGTGTATATATATATATGTATATAGTCACAAAATCAGAACTTCCCAGTCAATGACACCAAATTTTAATTTGTAGGAGTATCCTGCTAGAATTCACAAAAGAAACCTTTCACTCTCTAATTGGTTTGGACAACATACTGCTTAAACAGCTATAAAGGGTAATTTTGCTAGTTGAATCTATATGTTACGTATATTGCTGTCCACTTACGCATAATCAGTTGGACCATCTGAACTGGTAAGAAGCATAAGAAGTACAGGGCATTACTGTGGTTAAATATTTGGCAAACACATGTACCATGTCAAACCAATATTTCCTTAAAAATTTACTGTTTACTTTTGTCAGAAAATTCTGAAACTACAAATAAAACATTTCCCATATCCGGTTTCAAATCTTACACACGTACAAGTCTTTTCAAAAATTACATTTGTCACAAGGACATGCAAAGTAATTTACTTACAAGCTAATAATACAGAAGAAGATATGACATTAAGTGGACTTTGACTGGCATGGGTCAATCATCTGCAACCACATCCTGGGTTATAAATAGTTGTGTCTTTGTAAGCAATGACTTTGAAAAAAGGAGAGAGAAATATAGCGGAACTGGACTGGATACATCATCAGCGACCATGAATTCAATCAGTAGAACCTTCATCTAGGAGAATATGGAACCCTGGCCTGACCTTGCAGTTTTCTGTTCCTGTTACTGTTCACAGGGTTTATATACACGAGTTAATTACCAATGTCTTTTTAGTTGTATTCTGACCGCTAACAAACCCCTACTTCCCCATCCCATCCCCTCAATCATTGCATCACATCTGTCTGTATCTGAGAACTTACCTGTGGAGGCCAATGACTAACTCTTGTAAGACATTGCAAGCCTCTGTGATTGTACATGTACATTTATGTACACTATCGCTATGCATACGATTTATATTGAATGGTAGCACATCATTGTTAGGCAGAACATCAAATCTGTCTTTGAATTTCCAATTTTGTATATCCAATCTGAATGTGTATTGCAATTTAACACTTTGGATTCACCACTATATTATACTCACGTGTGCTTGATATTTGTTGATGATGTGGAAATTTATGTCGCTTACACACTTGCGAAAAGATTTTCCTACTTTCACTTTGGAATAAATTAATTTTCCAAGCGCTTGAGAAAAAGATACAGGGAAGGGACACAATATCTTATTATATTAAAGCAACAGTAGATAAGTCAGTTTTACCTACATTCATGACTTAGCTTACTAACGATCATATTTATTTTAAATGATATATACGACATCGCCGGTCGCGTGCTTTCAAAGGTCTCATGATCACAACAAACAGTGGTGTGTGTGAAGGATGACACCAAGGCCTAGCCTACTTACAATGATATGATCAATATCGGGTGCTCCATCGTCACCCCATCGAAGGAGGTTAAAGCTAAAGACAAGAAGATGACACAATTCGTAAGATACATTTGGGCAGGATCGTTGGGACTTACCAGCGTTGGAATCGCAATGTATTTCTTCAACAAATGGGTCGTGTCCTTGAACGACAATAATTTGAAAGGACGGCTGTTTAGAGCCGAGTTTATCGTTTTTATTCAAGGGGTACTTGGTTGTGTGTCCTATTTTGTATGGAGAAATGTGGCAAATATTTTCTCCATAAAGAAACCGTCGCATAGAAATCCAGAATCGGGATGTAGATTTCGAAGTGACACCGGAGCACGAATTTGGAAATTGGTTATTGCAGCCTATTTTTGTTTAGCTCATGGATGTTACTTGTGTAATGTGTTCCTTGTCCAAACCCATCCACACATGTACAGTATTGTATCTTACTTCATGCTCGGATTCCATGTTCAAATGGCAACAGGTCTCGTACTGGTCACAATTTTGAACTTCTTTATAAAACTAGTCTCCGATCAGACACTTAGACATAGAGCAGCCGTAATGATGGCAGTGTTCTATGCAGTGACAATAAGTATGTACGGGTTTTATAATACCAGAAAACTTCCTACAGTAAATAATGTAAAAATACCTGTAAAAGACTTGCCACAAAATTTGGAAGGACTCACAATAACACATTTATCTGATATACATTTGGGGCCGGTGAATGGACGGAGAGAAATGGTTCAGATTGTCAAGATGGTGAATGACATTCAGTCTGGTTAGTACCAAATCTTGATAACGACATGATCCACCAATTCACTTCTAAATAAAATTTGTATGGAGTAGGTCAAGAAACACTTTTTTTATCTTTAAATAGTATTCACTGTCTTCATCGTACATTTATACATAAAAGCAATCTTTACTTTCATAGTCCTTCCTCGAAAATTGTTCAGTGAGGTTAAAGCACATAAAGGTGTCAGTTGTATTTGTTATCTGAAAAAAAGACATTTTTTCAAAGCTTAAGAATACTATGTACATGAAAAGACAGATGGTGGAAACTTTTATTTCTAGGAAAACATTTTAAATCTCACATTATGTAGTGTCATTTCAGGCTACATCTGATTCAGTAGGTTCAGCTTCAATAAAAATTGTAATTTCTACATCCTTACTAATAATTCTGTGTGCTTACACTTTGGTATGATCATCCCACTTATACATGTATCATCCCTTATGTTACAGAAAAATCAATGAAAATGCCTTCAAAAAGTTGTGAAAATATGAGAAACCCATAAAAATTTGCAGTTTTTAATGTCCATAAAATTAGTCTATGAATTTTAATGGCCTTTAAATTTTAAGGATATATGCCCATGAAATTCCTGTGAAAGCACTTAGCAGTACTTCATTTATCAACATCACAATTTTTTGTCATGGTCATGATAATGTTTGTCATGAAGTTGTTATACTGACATTAGCTGTATGTTGTATATGGAGTAAGTTAATTTGATGAGTTTTGAATCAATTGTTTGCAGACGTGGTGGTGATTGTCGGGGACCTTATAGATGGTGGACTAAATGAACTACGTAAGGCAGCATCTCCAATAAAGAAGATAAAGTCCAAATATGGAACCTTCTTTGTAACAGGTAATCGTCACTGTTTCCATAAAATATTAAGCATACACAAATTTAACAGAGGTCATTATTTATTTCAATGCCTCTGCTAGGATTTGAACCCGGAACCCCAGGCTTACTGATCAACTGATCGAGCTAAAGAGAAGTTCTCTCTAGCCGAGCAGTATATTGTGGCTAGTATTTACCATGGCTACACAAACAAAACCTAGAACCATGGTATCTTTACTGATCAATTAATTAAATTAACCCCAGGCTTACTGATTATATCTGATACGAAAAAAAGAGAATTTTCTCTCCCTTGTCTAGTATATTGTGGCTAGTATTTACCATGGCTACACAAACAAAACCTAGAACCATGGTGTCTTTACCAATCAATTAATTAAATATTTATTAGTATTCTAAGAATATATCTGTACAAAAAAAAATAATTTTCAATCCTTCCCTTGTCTATTAGAGATCAGGTGATGTTTTTCTCTTTTAAAGATGATCATGTTGTCAAGAGGCTCAGAAAATGACAGTATTTGTTTTTTTGTACAGTTTTTTTTTCACATTGCACAATATCAGATATGAATTGTAAGATATCAAGTTGTTATATATTTAAGAAAAGTTAAAGAAATTAAAAACAAAAAAAATACAATTGTTACAATGCTTTTTTAGTTATAAATTAGTACAATTGTTACAATAGTTACATAAAACACTTGAGTCTTGTCTGCTTATTAAAGCAAACAACTTAAAGTTGAACATTCCTAATATTCCTTAAAAGGCCCCTCGCGCGTTAAAGAAATTGAAAACAAGAGTGATTAGTATAAGTTTAAATAACTTGCTTCGCAATTGTTGTAAAACAAATAAAGTTTATATTATATACCTGCCAATGCTTCCTCTTTTGGAATGCTAGTCTGCATTCTTTATTGTAATTTTACTTACTGTATTCAATATCAGTAGATTTTGTTTCACACTTAAATCAGTGAAGTATACCAAAATTAAACATCTGTTTTAGGAAATCATGAGTACTATGCATTGGAGGTGGATGAATGGTTTAGTTATTTGAAGTCAGTCGGTGTTACTGTGCTCCACAATAGTAATTTCCACCTACCCAAGAATGCTCCATCCTCCCAACAGATCTGTGTGGTGGGAACAGATGACTTGGAAGCTTCACGGATACAGTAAGATCACTTTATCAGCTGATTTTATTTCATTTAAAAAAGTGACAAACTGTGTTGCATGTTGACCCTAGCTGTTGTGAGGAACTGAAACCTTCACAGGGTTTTCCATAATTTTGTTAGTAGTAGGCTGTGTAGTGAAAGTAGGAGGCTGGCCTGCCGTGTACATGTAGTCGTGTACGGAACATTATTACAGAACTGGATTGGTGTAGGCGGCCAAATGATCAAAGTAGCCGGTCAAATTGGCCGGCAACCCGCTCTTATGGAAAACCCTGCTTCATATCTAAAAAAAAAAAACAGTTCAAAGGACCTAAATGTTTATGTAGTCAATTGCTAAATTTTTATGGAGAGAAGCTTGATATAGCATTTTCCAATGGATGACTCCTTTTCTGTTCATGGACAGTGTTATGAAACACCTTATCACTGACAACTTTAAACAGAAGTCAAGATTGTTGGTCTTCAGGTACTTTGTTATCAAAGTGGAAAGCAGAATAAAAACAAGTTATTATAGTTGTAAAGTACATGGTCCTGTGACTGGAATATTGTAGGAAAATGTGTCAGAAGTAGTGTCGTCAAGAAGGACGTCATGTGAAAATTCTGAAAACATACTGATTTCATTCATTCAATTAATATTGACTGTAGTGCCTCCTGGATGGCTAAGGGATTGACAGGGGAATTTGTTTTACAATACTGTGGAAGATTTGAGGCATTATAAAGCAGGATAGCATAAGAAAGCACACTGAAGAGTGTAAAATTATGATCGCGGAACAATTTGTCAAACAAAATTTATTTGGAGATTGAAACAGAAAATGCAGCAGGTGTTGCTTTTTTATTATTTTTTTTTTCATGGAATAATTATGTAATAAAACATATATGTAATGACTTCTCAAACATTTGTCTAACTAAGAACATTTATAACAGCCAATATCACTGTTATGAATAGTACAAATTATCAGAACATGGACATTACTTTGTACAAAATTGGATTTAATACCCTCAGACATATTCCTGTTTTCCAATTGCTGTTTAATGGTTAAAAACATGCCTTTATTGCATTGTAAACTGTAAGACTTACAAAGATTTCATGGAAAGTCACATTTTTGTTTAGTTACAAGGACCATGGCTTTCATCTGGACAAGGCAATGGAAGGATGTCGAGAGGGCCAACCAGTATTGTTACTCTCCCATCAACCTAAAGCTGCTCAAATGGCCTTTACTTCAGAACATAGAATTGACGTCGTTTTATCAGGTGTGTATAGCATTTCTTTTTGTTTGTTTTCATTGATGTTCTTCCCAAAGTTCAAATCTGTGAAAACATTTAAGATTATTCATAGTTGGTGGGGGGAAAAGTGTTATTTTAGTAGAACAAGTATGTATCAGAGGTCTTCAGAAATAATTAGGCACAGTACTGCTTGATGGAAGTGCAACTTATTGCAGATACTCTATTGGACATTGTCCTATCACTGAATAGTCCATGATTTTAGCTAGATTTCTTTCCAAGATATACAAAGCAGGGAAGCATAATTAGAATAAAAAATCAAAGAATAAATTTGACTTATTTTTTTTATTATGATCCCTAATTTATTCTTAGTTATGCTAACAACCACCTCCATTTCAAAACAAATATGACTCTCAGTACATACTGATGGATTTTATTCCTAGAGATGAAAAGACAGGAAAAGATATTAATACTAGGCTCTCTATTTTATTCAGGTCACACACATGGAGGTCAGATGTTTCCTCTGGTGATTGGCGCATACCTAGCCAATCCTTACTATGTTGGGCTTTATCCGCACGGACCCAACAGCCATGTCTACGTTTCACAGGGCACCAACTTTTGGGGTATTCCTATGCGAACATTCACGTCAAGAGAAATCGCTGTGATAACACTCACAAAGAAAGTTTGAATGTTTAACAAACATACAATTCATTTTTCTTTATTGATAATAGTCAGATACCTAGTCTATAAATATATTCAAGTTCAAAATAAATTGATTTGAACATAATAGGCTCACTGCCAGTATGACTGAAAACTTAAATTTGTTTGTATTTTAAGACAATATTTTTGTTAAATATTAATCATTGTTTTGATTTATAATTTATCTTTAAAAAATTGATTTGTCATTTTGTAATTCCTATAAAAAAAAAGTGACATATCAAGAGATTCCAGATTTTTTAAATGATTTTATCAGGCGATGATGTTACAGATAATATTAGGTTGATCTCATGAAATTAGTTAGGTTGACAACATTGCATTGTTGTATTCTATGAAAGAAACTTACATATATGTGTTTAATTGTACCTACCCGGTAATAGAAATTCTCAATCCCTATCTGCGGCAAACTTCTCGCTAGAATTTTTCCAGGTTCTGGAAAGCTGCATACTGTTTTCCTTATTTGTATTAATGATTTCTTCCTCAAAATGTCTTTTAGCATATATCATGTTTTCACCAACCTACCTCTTCCTGTTGAATAATCTTGAAACACCTAAAGGACACACACCTACTTGTACTTCTGCAGCAGTTAACATTCTCACATTCCAAAGTATTGATTAATTAAGAACTATTTTTCCGTTTGAAATTTTTGAAATTCATCAAAACAGGCAATGACTGAAACTGAAAATGTTTAAATGCCATGAAATATTGGCAATTAAAGTAAATTTATCAGATTTTAGAAAATTTCCTGTGAAAATAAAAACAAAATAAAATGACATTTCTGATAATTCAGCTAAATTTACTCTAGATATTACAACTAATCTGAAATTCAAATAAAAATTGGCGTGAAAATAAAGTTTTATTACAGATCTCAAAATTTCAATGATACAATTTGTAGTGTAGAGACAGTGTGGTGTGACAGTAGTTTGTATGCTTGTGAAGTGCATTAGAAGATAGTATTTTACAGTGTGATTGTGATCCAGTAAATGAATATGAATAGTACTTATGATGACTGTATCAATTTCTTATTTGAGAGAAAAATATTGGATTAGGCCATACCATACATTAAATCTGGTCTCAGTAATTCAAAGCTTTGTTACAGTTAAGTGATGGCTTGTTAAGATCTTCAAAACACGAAATGAAAACAAACTTTGGAACATTTTCTATCACTTCGATGGCTGCAGATATGTTGTGGACAGATCAGTTGACTTTTTAGGTCATCTGACCAAAGAGTCTGATGACCTATTCGATCGCCTTTTATCCGGCGGCGTCCGGCGTCCGTCGTAAACATTTTCAACTTCTCAAATTCTACATGTGTGATTGAGCTGAAACTTATGTGAAATGATCATGACTTGATCCTGACAAAAGTTTCTTAATTTCAGGTTGGTCCTAAATCCAACATGGCCGCCATCTTTAAAACACATTTTCGACTTCTCAAGTTCAAGTTGAAATCTTGTATTTTATGTCAGATGACCGTTAAGGCCCATGGGCCTCATGTTTAAGTGTTTATTTTGCTTTGAAAATCCTTGGGTTTCAATGAGCAACAAAAAGATTTTTTCACTAACCTCTCTTACCATGCTTTGAACCACTCAGGCCCTATTTACCCCTGTTCCAAGTCCTTGCTTCACCAATATAGAAAGCTGATTAAGGTGACCAGCATTCAATGGCTCCAGTCCTGAGATGTTACATGACATGAAGAAATAGCTTATTGTACTTTTACAATTTAGTGTTTATCTTGTGAGCTCGCTGTGATACCAGTGTCAAGTTTTTGCACACTTTAATTTTGTTTATATTTGTGAAATTTCTTCCCTTTTGAAGAAATTTTGTCTCGCGATTATTTGATAAAATATAGTTATACTGTAAATTGATGATGTTGAGAGCTTTGATGGGGTTGATGTGAAAATAAAAACAGACATTTTTTTGCATTTCCAATAACTGATATACTGATATTTAATAATGATAGTTCCAATATCTATTAGCCTTAGTTGGTTTTCTTTGGAAACTGTTAACCTTAGTTGGTTTTCTTTGAAAACTGTTAGCCTTAGTTGGTTTCCTTTGGAAACTGTTAGTCTGAGTTGGTTTTCTTTGGAAACTGTTAAGCTTAGTTGGTTTTCTTTGGAAACTGTTAAGCTTAGTTGGTTTTCTTTGGAAACTGTTAGTCTGAGTTGGTTTTCTTTGGAAACTGTTAACCTTAGTTGGTTTTCTTTGGAAACTGTTAACCTTAGTTGGTTTCCTTTGGAAACTGTTAACCTTAGTTGGTTTTTTTTGGAAACTGTTAGCTTTAGTTGGTTTCCATTGGAAACTGTTAGCCTTAGTTGGTTTCCTTTGGAAACTGTTAGCCTTAGTTGGTTTCCTTTGGAAACTGTTAGTCTGAGTTGGTTTTCTTTGGAAACTGTTAAACTTAGTTGGTTTTCTTTGGAAACTGTTAGTCTGAGTTGGTTTTCTTTGGAAACTGTTAACCTTAGTTGGTTTTCTTTGGAAACTGTTAACCTTAGTTGGTTTCCTTTGGAAACTTTTAACCTTAGTTGGTTTTTTTTTTGGAAACTGTTAGCCTTAGTTGGTTTCCTTTGGAAACTGTTAGCCTTAGTTGGTTTCCTTTGGAAATGGATTTTTGAAGATATGAAGAGTGGTTTTGATTATTTTTGGTATATTTACTAGTGTGGTACAAGAAATTTCACAGTGTTTTCACATATTTTACATTAAATGCTTTAATTTAAGAAATCAGTATTCCTTTCCCCAAGTGAAAGTAAAACTTTTTATTGTATGACGGTAACTTCTCTTTAAAATTTTATGTCTTTTTGGGTTTTTTTACATTGAAATGTGCAACTGTCAGTATTAGTACAATAACAGTACTTTATTTTTATCAACTGCCTTCATGTAACATTTGTACTCTAGGAATGAATCCACAATCAAGATTTGAGTTTTTGGTTAAAATCCCGTAGAATACATTTACATCGTTCAAAATATAAATCATATATTGCACATGTACTGGTGTAAAATCAGAACAAAGGAGCTACAACGAGAGTTAACAATGAAACAGCTGATTTAGCTTAATTCAATGTTTGACTTTACTGCATCTAACTCGAAGTTTGTATTTTACGATGCTATTCTTTTGTACTATCTTGTATGAGTTCCGTGGAATCAGAACAATATAAACACTCATATAAGTTGAATTACAAGTTTTGGTTAAATTTGGAACTATGCAAACACAAACATTTGAATAGAGTCACACAAGTTGAAATTTGAATCATGTAATTTCAGGTTTTAGTTGATTACAAGGCCATCTATGCAGTCAAAATATGGGTTGAAATTTGAATAACACAAGCTAAAGTATTATTTAAGAAGATTCAGTCACAAAAATAAATATGTCCAAAAGTAAATACTCATTTTTAAAATTTTTTATTTTCTGGAGATTTTCCATGATATACTTAATGGCGTAAAATTACGTTCACACGCTCTCACACTCGCTGATTTTATATCAAACTGTAATGATATTATCAACAACATCATCATCATCACTCTATCACTCACCATTATAATGATAATTACATACACCTTATCATCGTCATCGTCGTCGTCATCATCGTCATCGTCATCATCATCATCATCATCATCATCATCATCAACACATCTTGACATCATACATCACACTATCACTATCAGATATAATGATGACGATGATGATGATGATGATGATCATCATCATCATCAGGACACAATTATTGTCAATTAAAATGATGGTCACATGCACTTAGTCGTCGTCATCATCATCATCATCATCATCATCATCATCATCATCATCATCATCCATAACACTAAATCTACTCTTATAATTGAATGTTTGATTTTTATTTTTCACAAATTTAAGGGGTTAGAGATATAAATTACATCCCTGACATGATATTCAACTTTCCTCTTTAGTGATATTTCAGCTTTTTTAGTTCAGTCCATGAAAAAAATTGTATATTTTCCACAGTTTGTTCAACGTGTGAAGATTTCCAAGCATGTGTACCTTCTCTACCAATCATCAAACTGAAACAAAAGACATTCACAGAATTTATATTTCTTTTCTGTGGTTGAATGGAGTTTGCATTTAAATACTAAAATTGATAGTTCTTCAACCAATCAGATTTCAGCATCTTATTGGTAAACCACTCCATGTACTATTCATGATCTTGTTGGCTTTAGATACAGTCCTTATCTGTCATAAACTCCTTGTGACAGGTGAAATTTAGTATAATACACATGGCAAAATGATAATTAAGTTTTTTATGCAATTGAAACTACATGCGAGTATTTGTCATTTTCATTTTCATGTCCTTCTAGATCCATTGCCATTTAGTTGTGTGTTAATTTTTAAGCTGCCAATTACTGTTACACTAACATTACTTTCTGTTTTCTATCAAAACCATAACTTATGCCGAATTTGGTATTTTTATACAATAATATTCTCAGAACTGCCATATTAGGGATTGTATCAAATGTCTGCTGATTATTTTTCAAAATGTCCGAAGATTCTGTTCGGTGAATTTGTACATGTCTTCATTATCAAAATATTTTTGCAATCCTTTGGCATCATTGTTTAAGGTTTACCAGTTCATACATCATTGACGTTTTGAATTTTATTGTATAAAAGTACATAAACGTAATTGTGGTTCAGTCAGGTATATAATGACAAAGTGCTTGCAAATTACTAAATTAATTAAAAATTCAACAGTAAAAAAGTTTAATCAATGTTGTGATCAAAATCAAATAAAAAAATGTTTTCAACTTCGTATCGTTTTGGTTTTGCTTTATTTTTTTTTAAATGTAATGCACACTATACACACAAACACAGCAGTTTATACTCTGGCTCGGGTCTATATATAGGCTTATTGTTTTCCATATCAAAAATGATTTGTTACCGTCACAGCAACAAAAACACAAAGAATTAAGACATCTTTCCATTTTTATCAATCATTGCGAGTATCCCAAACACAGTGGATGTTCCTATATATACCTAAGCATGATATCTGCCTTAAAATAGTAGCAATGCATTATACAGTCTGTAAATATGTGTCCAGCTGCAATATGCATATATGATATTTTAGATATTCGGACAAAGCTAGGTACTTGTATTTAGTGATGGCTATGTACTATGTATAACAAACTTTTGATGTAATCACATCCTCTTGCAATTGTTGGAATCCGTTTTTCTGTATTTATTTGTTTTATAAATCCATTGATTGATATTCATATATTGTGGCAAATGACTGTCAGGATAGTTTTTCCTTCTCCCAATTACCGGTAATGCTTAAAACAAATGAACAGATCACATGCATTTTCATAACAAAACTATTTCTCTTTATTTTAATCCCATTTCAAACAGGTGCCCGACACTTGTCAAACGTATGATATGATAAAGATAGGCTTGATTGAAAGATTGATAAATATTTTTCCAAAGAATTCAAAGCGTGCTGGTATTGACCTTGAAAGATTCTAAAGATGCTAAGGTGAGGTCAGTCTGAGTGGAATTGTAGAAGGCAGGACATGGTCAGCATCAAATGCAGTTGATGAACTTGAGGCCGAGAGCAGGTTACGACATCAAGATATCTTCGGAACAGTAACAGATGGAAGGCAAGGCCTCATGACATCCAAAAGCAGTTACTGGAAGAAAGTTGAGGTAACTGAACAATGATATATGAAGGAAGAAAGCAGACATATCATAATAGTGTAACTAAGGATTCCAGGAGTTTTTACAAGATGTATAATGACCGAGACTCAATTCTAACGCAATTTTTCCTTCAATCTGTGTATGATACACAAGCAATACAAGCTAGCCTCAGTAGATAAGACCTTGGAGGAACATCAGACTGCACCTCTGTTATATCAACAGAAAGGATTTTTTTAGCGTGCACACTAGACTTTATCAAAGGGGAGACACACATAGCACCAAGTTTTAAAGGGCAGACATGGTGAGAAAGGAGCAGAAGAAGAGACAGAGAAAAGAGCTTCCAGAATCCTAATCCAGAAAGGATACTAAAATCTGGCCAAAGATTGTGGTTAGAAATTGGTATTGATTATTTAACTGGGTACTTTGTATTATCATCTTGTTGGAAAAAAAACATCAAGAAAATACCAACATGGCAACATAATCATAATTCAAATTCATATTCCATAAAACTAGGGAAAAATGTCAACAAAGGAAACATTTACACAGAGACTCCGTAAAAAGTACAAGGAGAATAAGACCAGGTGTTCCGGAAAAGTAAGTGTCTTCTGCTGCATCGACAACACCTGCCATGTAGACCTTGATCACTCCAAGTAAGTAATGCCACATTCTTCAATGAGAACAATGTATGGAAAAAACAGGCAAACTATTGAGCATCAAATGCCTCATGTTGCACAAAGAAATAGAATATTTTTTAATGAGATCACTATTGCCCCAAGAAAACTTTCCCATAATTTTCATCAACTGCATCTTCTGATCTCTTGTGTTAGGAATTTGCCAGTCAGAAAATGATTTTGGCGGTTCAATATTTTTAAATGCAATACCGGTACCTGGTGGACAATTTTGACAAATCTGTAGATTCTGCATTGCATGCTATTGGTTTTATTCTAAATTTCCAACAATACATTTCATATAGTATAAACCATAGCAATTATGTCAGTCAGTGAGAAGTGAATCTCATATTCATAACAAAAAATAATTGTAATGAACTAAAATGACATATCAAAAAACTTACACGAGTCAATTACAAAATTACTCGGCCTTTTTAAATCAATTCATTTATGGATGACTGATTTTCTTTATATACCGTACTGAAAGCAGTACACAATAAAGGGTGGTGTTTCAGTTGTAAATACCTTAAACATGCAGTTTGCTTTATAAATATGAAAATTTAAGAGAAATTATTTGCCAGAAAAGTTAGCACTATGAATTGAAAATTATCAAGCTTTCTACTGTTGTTTTTTTTTGGAAAGAGATGTCCTTTTGGAGAAACATCGTTTAAAAACACAGCACATAAGTTTCTGTTGAACGGAAATTTGGTTTTAAATACTTTAAATAAGGAATATCGTATCTATTGGACACAATCTTATTTTTCTTCTTGTTTTACATGTATTAGTAGATTGATACCTTTATATAGGTCAAAATGAAAGTAGAAACTTACCTCCCTTTGTATCCTTCCGCGCTTTTTCGCAAACTATTGATAACTGTTTTGACGACTAATTACAGATGTTTCAAGGGAAATTTTATAAAAAAAAACGATAAGTCTAAATATAAGATTTTTTACCATGGTTGAGACGACTAAATAGTTTTGTTTTTAGTATTCTTTAATAAACTTTTTTTCATACGCGGAACAAGAACAACCGGAAATGTTGTTCGGCAATTCTCTGATTATTACAATCACCTGCTTAGCAATACAGTATTGATTTACGATGAGAATTTGACAGGGATACCTTTGATTTTTGTCCGCTGTTCATTAAGGTGAGATTTCGTTACATCGTCTGTGGTTATTAATGATCTGTGTTCTATTGCATATCTTTGTTTTAATTTTGATCGCTTTATAATGTCTTGTGACAGGAATCCCCATTTGACAGCACGTTCAGAAGTGTCAAATTCAATATGGACAGATAGTTTGCCTTTGAATTCAAAGGGAGATTGGCTATTTAGTGATGGTACTGTTATAATGGTTATAATGCTGTGGTTATTTTGCCCAGAATGTGTTTTGTATTTCATCCACGTATATAAACACTTCCTGTTCAGATTTGTTCTGCCCGAGGCAAGACTTCTCTAGTCTTTTCAATACTGAATGAGTGACTTGCATGGTCTGCTGATGTCAAGATAAATGTGTGTCTTTATTGTACATATATATATATATATAATTACCTATCACTATCATTCAAGTGAGAAAGTTGATATATCATTGCAGCGAAATAGTATTATATTCAAACATCAAATAAATAATCAAACATTTTTAAGAGGCGGGGTAGGGGCAGGTTGTGGACCATATATCATGCTAAATGTCAGTCTCGATGTCTGTCGTGAAGGTGACAAAGCATACTTCTTCAGCTCAGTTGATAGATAGAGGTGTTGATTATCATGCTGAAGAACCAGGAATGTGCTTTTCCTTGGTATTTTTTTTTTTTTTTTTTTTTTACACATTTTACGTCATCATATTGCTACAGACTATATGTATGGCATCTATCCATTTATCCATACAAAGTTTCAAGTAACTTACCAACAAGCATTTACTTCTCTTTAGGTCTCTGTTTTTTTTCTTCTTTTTTCTTTTTTTTTGTTTAAAGAGAACTAGTAACATCTTGTGCTAGAAATTTCTAGTTTCCAAAATTTTATTTGTGCTTAAAATTAAAGAATTTGTCTAGGTTTTCTATTTTTGTCATTTCTTTTTGAAATCAGACAATAAGGACTTTTTTGTTTACATTTCTTTCAAAAGTTTACACTGCTGTGTTATAAGGATCAAAGTTGAATGATGTCTTTTTTCTGGCACTGGACAGTATAATTGTTTTCACAAAGTTGGTTTAAATATAAAATTTGTTGTAGGTCAATAACAATGACAGGCGGAAGTAACTTAGTGGTGCCGATTGTGTTATGGGGAAGGAATGCCCCAACACACTGTATTTCCACCTTACTGATGACACCAGATCAGAGAAACATTATCACTGGCTGCAACGATGGACAAATCGCTATTTGGGATGTCACAAAGACCTGGGAGGTGAGATTACAATTTTTCAGTCAGGGAGATATTCCTGTAGATGTACATGTATTAATTTCTTGTAATGTTATTGGACTATGAAAGGTCTCCTATATATCATCCTCGATACTGTTTGTAGACCAGACTAAAGACTAGTTTGATCCTTTGATGTACATCAAACGAATCTCAAGGTCGCATAATAGTATATTACATTGGATTTGAAATTTGATATCATTCCCTTGTAATCTTCAAGCATATAAGCCTATGATTGTTCAGAATTGATCTCGTGGAACCAACCAAAACACTTGTACCTTCAATTTTACCATGACATGTTCCAGGGGTGCAGAGAATGAAAGCGATTGTAACCATTCGAATATGGATGATGCCTATATATATATATCACATATGTACTATATGGATAGGAGGTCTAGATCATTTGGGAAATATTACAAAGTCAGATCACCATCATAATGTTAGTAATTGTTATAACAGCTGGTCACAATAGACAGGTAAATCAGGTAAATGGCTGTAAATTGTAATATGCAGGTGGTCACTTTAGACAGGTGAGTAGCTGTTATAACAAGTGGTAATCATAGACAGGTACAATATACGGTGGCACCTATTATAGACAAGTGATCACTGTAGACAGGTAAAGACAGGTGATTACAGATCTGATGACAGGTAAGTAGCTGTAATAGGTGTACGGTCACATGAGACAGTTAAGAACCAGTAGTTTTCCTTAAGACATAGTCACAATCCATTTGTAGACAAATCTAGCTGTTGTATACAGGTTGTCACTATAGACAGGTGTTATAGTGTAGAAAAGAAATATTCCACCTGAGGGGTCACAAAATGTTGTAAAACCTGCGGCTTTGACTACAGTTTGACCACATTTTGTGATCTCAATGGTGAAATATTTCTCACATACGAAATAGTATTTTTCTCTCATTTCCCATTCTGAAATATTGAAAAAAAAAATTAGCTTTAAAAATGGACAATTTACTACAAAAGACGCCATATTGCACAAATATCATGTTTTTTATTATGCAGTTGATTGACAATTTGACATAGAATGAATAGCTAGATCTAGCAAACAAGAGTTTCCTTAGAAAATTAAAACAAATTAATATAAACAGTCATGTCACACTGCTTTCATAATTATTATGATTTCAGATCTACCCTCGTAGTATGTTGTTTGGACATACTTCTGCAATCAGCTGTCTGGCTCTTGGCAGTTCTCGTCCAAACCTACCTTATATCGTTAGTGCTTCAGAGAACGGGTAAGCTGGCTATATTATTATTTTATGATACCTATAGATGTGTAAACCTGTCTCATACTGTCATCATTTTATACTATGAATAGTTCTTGTTACCTACATACAGCATTTGTTTGATAGATAATGCACAATTTTTTAAAATCATGATTCTAAACATTGTACTGCCAGGTCTTATCATAATACTCAATGTACAGCCTGGTCTTATCATAACACTCAATGTTCTGCCTGGTCTTATCATAACACTCAATGTTCTGCCTGGTCTTATCATAACACTCAATGTTCTGCCTGTTCTTAATTTTTGTACAAAATATATATGTATAATATAAATTTTCATCGGAGACCACAAATACTGATCAAAACAGAACAATTCGCAGAGATCAATAAAATATCAATAATGTCTCTATACTTCCTGATAAATCTTAAGTTTCCATATCATTATCAACAGTTATATCACTGCAACTGTAGATACGCAGTACTGTAAATGGCTTGATTTGATTAATGATTTAATCTTAACAGAGAGATGTGCCTGTGGGACATTACCGATGGCAGGTGTATAGAGTGTACAAAGATGTCATTCATCCACTCTAATATGCAGGTAAACAGGTTGAATTCAATTTCAATAACTTTTTTAAAGCAACTTTCATTAATGCTATACATGTACCACATGTACAACATGTCTACAGAAATTTGCCCGAGGCAACCTCGGATAAAAATCCAAGGTTTGTGGTTTGACTCTACCTAACTCTGGCAGTTTGTGTCCCTCAGAAAGAATAGCAGTCATTGGGCCATTGGTGTGTCCATAGGCAGGATACTTTACCTCCAATTGCTCTGACATGTGACAGACCTCCCATATCTTGTTCAGTAAGGTAGCCACTACTTACTGAAAAGGAGTTCAGTCTTAAAAAGGCTCTGTAAGCTGCTTTTGTTTTCCTCTGCGGTCAGGCGTGCAGCTTATATGAGGACGGAATAAATTGACAGAATGAAAAAGAAAAAAAATAAATGAAAAGTATCATCTGAATATTGTATTTTAAAATAAAGTCTTAATTCTGTGTACATTTAAGAGTTATAAATGTTATAGTTAGCTCTTGTTGCTGCACTTGTTGCTAAAAATGAAACAACACTGCGTTTAATGTTTTACACAGGCTTATCAGTTCAGAAAGGACGTTCGGCTAGTATGTAATGGCTACTATCCAGAGATTTTGATTATCGACCCTTTAACATTTGAAAAAATCTACTCACTGTCTTCCAAAGTTGCTCCCGACTGGATCAGTGCCTGCTGTGTTCTCCGACCAGTGAAACGACAAGGTAATATGCCTCCTCAACTTGTAGAACATTCCAGGTCACGAGATTTTGAGCATGTGAATAAAATCATAAATCCAGGCGTAGAGCCAACACCGTAAATTCTTATTGAGGTTCCGTTGGTTCTTTATATCCCTTGCCCAGATACCACCTGGTATGCAGGGTCCTGAAGAAGCCCACTGTTGGGGCGAAACTGGTAGACGTTTCACACTAATAAAAAATCAACTTATCCTGAACCTGTTGCGATTGACTTATATACTGAATAAAATCTCGTTTTGATTACACATGGAATCAAACTTTCATAACAATAATTAATTGGATTATTATAAAATAAGATACAAAAAGTTATAATCTTTTTGAGTTGTATATTTTTGGCTGATGTGATCCAGACACTGTTGATTTGCAGTGTTATTTTGACTGGGCAGTAAAAGAAAGGTTTCGTTTTACTGATTTCTCTGTCGGTCTTTTCTATTTATCCAATACTTTTAGACATTCAGTGATCCAACTGTTTCTTTAGATCCATTACAAGTATAATTTGATCTCATTCAGTGGTAATTTGATTGTGTTTGTTAGGTGTATAGCAAACATATGGTATTTTATGCCCATAGATGATGTCATCGTGGCCATATCTAATTCTGGAGCAGTCAAGGTCTGGAGTCTGATGGGGACAGAGAATAGAGTAAGACATTTAACATTGCTTACATTTCTCAAATTTTTAGACCGAACATAAAGCAGTGAAGGTTTCAGCCTATTGTCACAGTCTGTGGAACTAGCTGTTTTGAAAATACTAATCCTAGCTTTCTGATTTGTGGAAATATTACAACGTTGTATCAGTGACATCTTGTTAAATTTACTTCAAATCTAATAGAATTGGAAAGATAGGCGTAGAAGTGTATACATTTGTTTATTGAACTCAATAAATAAGAATCCGCTCCCTTTAATCTTAATTACATGTTCTCTGTAAAAAAAATTTCCCCAATAGTAATTTTTAAACATTGAACTCTAGCTTAATATTGCTGCCCAATACATTTTTAGGTCATCTGACCCAAAGGGTCTGCCGTGCGCCGTCCGCCATGCATAAACTTTTCATTCAAACAACTTCTTCTCAAATACTAGGAGCTCTACCAAGTTTGTTCAAATGAATGACCTTGACCCACTTTAAAGGTCACAGGGGTCAAATATGTTAAAATAGGTTTGGCTTGCTTTTTGTCAGATGACCGTTAAGGCCCATGGGCCTCTTGTTTATTTAAAATTTGTGTTTTTATTTTTTTTTTTTAATAGGCACAGCCTGTATACGAGGATGAATCCAAACAGATAAAATGTCTGAATGCCCAGACTCTTGCTTGCTGTCCATTCAACCAGAGAACCGTTCTTATCGTCTGCTCCAAATATTGGCAGGTAATACACTTAACCTATAGAATATAACCCTACATTTGACTTTTCTTCTCTGACACCATATTTTCTTTCCAGACAATACCCACAGCACTCAACATTTTTAATATTTTATACCTAATACATTTTGTATGTACATTAAATAAACTTGAAGGAGTTATTTTTTTATTCCTTGCTGTTCAATGTACATATAGATGAGTACATACATCATCATATACTTTTATTAAACTCATTAATATCATTACACACTGATAATATCACAATTATACTTCAATAGAAAGAATGCAAGTTTAGCCTGCTTGAAATTGGTTGAATTTCAGAGTACATGCAATCAAATGCTTCTGGTGAAAGAGTTCATTTTGACTGAAATTTCCATTAATTTTGACCTGTTAAATTTTTAGGTCATCTGACCCGAAGGGTCGAGATGGCCTATAACCATCGTGCTTCGTCCGTGCGCCGTGCGTTGTCTGTAAACTTTTCATTCAAAAATCTTCTTCTCTAATACTAGAAGGCCTAGGGGGCTAATACTTGGCCCATAGCATGCTGGCATAGAGCACTACAAAGTTTGTTCAAATTAATGACCTTGACCCACTTTCAAGGTCACAGGGTCAAATATATTAAAATATACAAACGACTTCTTCTCAATAAGCAAAAGTCCAAGAGTGCTGATAATGGATCTGTAGGATGCTGGGATGACATGCTACCAAGTTTGTTCAAATGAATGACCTTGACCCACTTTCTAGGTCACAGGCGTCAAATATGTTAAAATATACAAACAACTTCTCTTCAATAAGCAAAAGTCCAAGAGTGCTGATAATGGACCTGTAGGATGCTGGGATGACATGCTACTAAATTTGTTCAAAGGAATTACCTTGACCCACTTTCAAGGTCACAGTGGTTAGATATGTTAAAATATGCAAATGACTTCTCAATAACCAAAATGATTAGAGTGCTGATATTGGGCCATTAGGATGCTTTGAGGAAGTGTTACCAAATGTGTTCAAGTGAATAACCTTGACCCACTTTCAAGATCACAGGGTTCAAATATGTTAAAATCTGTAAACGACTTCTTCTCAGTAACCAAAAGGCTCAGAGTGCTGATATTGGGCCTGTAGGATGCTGGGAGGAAGGGCTACCAAGTTTATTCAAATGAAAAAAGCCCACTGTTTTAACGGCAGACTCACTGTTGTTAGAGTTTGGCTTGCTTTTTGTCAGATGACCGTTAAGGCCCATGGGCCTCTTGTTTTTCTAGTGTTAATGACTTGATTCTAAAGCATTATTTTTAGTCATTACTTTTTTGTTGTTTTTATTAAGGCACTTAATTCCAACTTTACCAAAGGGTTCAACTGCAGTTTGCTGACCACGTGCCTTTAAGGTTCTATCCTATGGGATAGAAACTATTGATAAAAAATCAAATTAAACTGCAACAAAACAAGTTTTCCAGATATTACATAAGGAATTGTAGTATTTTATTAGTGTTTTATTTATAGATCAAATTTGCAGGAGAAAAATTAATAGATATGACACGCGACTGAGAGCGAAACACCTTGTTACTGATATACTATCCTTTTTATCAACCTGAAAGTCTGTTTGCAATAGTGATTTTGAAAAATGTTTACAAGTGATCATTACTGACCCATTTGGAACATATATTAAGAAAATTATGGTTACTTCCACCATTTGCTCATATGAATGACTTAAATGGCCACCACAGCATTTTTTTTTTTTTTTTTAAATATTTTTATTAATAGAAAGTGTACCATGATAAGAATTATGTCTCCCTACATTTTTACTTTTGTTTTCTGATGTGATAGGTTCATTCCTCAGAGTGATTTTACACTTCAGTCTGAAGAAATTTACTTGGAATGATTTTTCTCAGCTGTTTGTATGATCTGTTGAAGCATTACCAGACTTTGTACTTCGTTTCGTTGGCGTGTTGATTCTTTAGTGATTTTTTAAAAAAATATTTCGTTTGAAATGATATGTATACATATCTTTTGTTTTTGCTGTAAAGCAATATGTCAGGAAATGATGTCATGATTTTAGACTTAGTTTTGTGTGATGTGTGATACTCCTTGTAATGGGGTCATTTTATTCTCCATTCTAGATGTTTGTGATGCCCTCTTAGGTTTCTGTGTGAAACCGTTTTAAATTTGTGCTTGTTGGAATGATTAACTGATGTGTTGCTGTTTGGTTTTCAAGGTCTATAGTTACGATGTGAGAACTTGTTGCAGTCAAAAGTATGGCGGGGTAAGGTGACTGGTGCTAGGTGATTCCATGTGCATGTACGATAGAATCATCCCCTGTTGAGTTACCTCCCCTGGCAGTGTAACGGCCAACAATGTCTACCTATATCAAACAAAATATTTTGATAAATAAATAATTTTTAAAGGATACAAATTTTTAAGTTGCTAACAAAATATTTGCCAACTTTTTGATTCAACAATTTCAAAGTGAAAATTTTAAAAGGAATGCTTAGTAAGATTTTTTGTAAACAATGTAAACTTCCGAAAAAGAATTTTTAATCTAAATAAATCTTGCGAAAAAAGTTTGACATATTTTCATAACATCCAAATAATGAAAATACGCTTAATATTTTATGCAAATATAGACTGGCATTGTGGCATATTTATAAATCAATGTTGTTTTTTACTGTTATATATACTTTAACCACTGAACACAGTTGGTTTTCGTTTTAGAGGATTAGCTTTCACAAATCTTTGAGTTGTTTTACTTTTCTAGGCTAACCCATTCTCTTACTTTCTCATAGATCATTTATGGTACACAATATAATTTCATTGTTTGATTAGTGACATAATTACGGTACACAGTATGTTTTCATTGTTTAATTAGCGAGAGTATTTTTTTCTTGTTCTGCTGTATATATTACTTCATATCATTGTAACAATATGTAGACATATACTTTAGTGATATATACGTAGTCACAAATCAAATTATGTACATTTTACATATCATTGTAACAATATGTAGACATATACTTTAGTGATATATACGTAGTCACAAATCAAATTATGTACATTTTACATATCATTGTAATAATATGTAGACATATACTTTAGTGATATATACGTAGTCACAAATCAAATTATGTACATTTTACATATCGTTGTGACAATATGTAGACATGTACTTTAGCGATATATACATAGTCACAAATCAAATTATGTACATTTTACATATCGTTGTGACAATATGTAGACATGTACTTTAGCGATATATACGTAGTCACAAATCAAATTATGTACATTTTACATATCATTGTAACAATATGTAGACATGTACTTTAGCGATATATACATAGTCACAAATCAAATTATGTACATTTTACATATCATTGTAACAATATGTAGACATGTACTTTAGTGATATATACGTAGTCACAAATCAAATTATGTACATTTTACATATCATTGTAACAATATGTAGACATGTACTTTAGTGATATATACGTAGTCACAAATCAACTCATGTACATTTTACATATCATATAGCGCTTTATTTTCCATACAGGTCTGTATGTCTGGTACTGCTATGTGAAGATGACTTTGATTGGATAACTTAAAATGTATCTGTCGATATGATTGGTTTAACACATCTTTACCACTCATGCTTATAACCTCTACAACACATGGCAATGGAAATCGTCCTAGACTCGGTTATAACCAGAACAAGGACGTTAAGCTCCAAATAAGAAAGAAACAATGGAAATCAATTTCTGGCTGTCCATACTAATACCACTGCTGTAGATGTGAATATTTTGTATCTGTTTTTTTCAGCATCAGCATTTACAGTATCCAAGGTTTTCAAAAGTGGCAGAGTCAAACTGATCTCTGTTGAAATAGCTCATACTGTATACATATTGGCTGGTTAGTTGCTGTCTACTGTCATACATATTTGCTGATCACGGTGTTTATATATCTATAACTCAGGATCTGATTGGTTTTTATCTTGTAATATTCTAACATCTTTTTGAGAATCCAGAATAATGTTAACCCCCGTCCTGGACGGAGTGAACCATTCAGTTATTTTTGACAAATTTTTCCTATGTCAAAGATTGATGATAAGTAATATTGTGATAAAATTATACTATGATGAAATGGAAAACGTTAGACGTACGTTGAAGTCAATCACACAGAAACAGAATATTGATTTCGTTAATGACAATTTTACCTTTTGAAATTGAATATACTGTCGGGTAATTGATTTCCTTCAAACATTGAATTAATATGTCCTAGTCTTAATTAGAAAGTTAAGTAACCTGTTTCTCACAAATTGTTAACAATCTAAGTACATATTTACGTAGATACACTTCTAGTAGACAGGACTTATGTCCGATGAATTTGGGAACATTATAATTTTTTTGGTCGGTGTGTACTGTAGTTATGATGTATCATGATATTTTCTTTACGTAGTCACAGGTCAGATATCCCTAGTCAATTACAACCGACAATCTTCTAGGAATTTTGTAAGAGAGGAATATCTCAAATTACTAGATATTTTTCTCATTATTCACTTATCACCAGTAACATATTTATGGAAAACTTTAACATGATGTATGTATTCTGTTTTCCCTGCATTTTATGAAATATAATGCTTTTTAAATTGACTTTCAAAACCAACATTGACATTTTTTTTTTCAGAATTTTTTTTGTCTTTATGAGCAATATATTTTTCACCTTATGATATCACCCATTTTATATGTAAAACATTTTCACTTCATACTTAAGTCATAGAAATATTCTGCGTTTGTTTAGATTTGTATTACAGTATGTAGGGGCCACAATATTTCAGTTGGATGCATGTTGGCTTTTGCAACCTCAGTTGAAGATTTGAAGTGTGTGATTCAAATCTCCGAAATTGTGGCTGTTTGTGTTTCTTGAGAAGCTGAGCAATTTACTGGTCTGCTGTCAAAGTTGTGTCCATGGGCAAGACACTTCACCTCAAATGTTCTGAATAGCATGTGTCAGATCGCCTGTATGTTGTTTAGTAAGGTAGGCTATAGCTACTAAAAGGAGACTTTGTTTCAAAGTGACCCTGGCCGTAGAAGGGACGAGAAATACAGCATTTGTATTACAGCATACCATTAAAACATACAAAGACTTGTGAATCAAAATACATCAACTTCTATTTATCATTCTTGGTGATACTGTATGGATAGATCTTAGGTCTTTTGTAGAAACCAGAGAATCCAGTGTCTCAAATTGAAAGTGGAATATGTTCGAATTACACTTCCCAACATGCTACGTTTTAATGTTCCCTTGAAAATTTTCAAGGGAACATCTACCATTTAGTAGCCACTTTGTCCGTCCTTCCATCAATCCATTTTTTCATCCATCCTTCCATCCATCCTGGAACACAACTTTGCCAACAGCTACGCAAGGCCTTTGAAACATAGTTTATACATATACTAAGGCAATGTTTAATGTACCAAATTCAGGGCTCACAACCCCAAATTACAGAGTTATTGCCCTTTGTTTAAAAATTCATGTCTGAATGATAACTTTGCTCGCATTTATTTACACTAGGATAATGAAACTTTCTGTATGCATTGATTGTTCAACTGGGATGGGCAGTAATTGTTACAAATAGTAACAATGAGAAATCCTCACAATATGAACGAATATTATGGGTTATTAATAGAATTCCTCACAATGAAGACAAATATTAAAGGTAACCAATAGAAATCCTCTCAATATAGACACATATTAAATGTAACCAATTAAATTCCCCAAAATTAGCTAACTGTTAAATGAAACCAGTATAATTCCCCACAATTTTGACATCAGTTACCTCAATTCTTTTCCACAAAAAACGTCTATTAAGAGCAATCCTCACAATACAAACATTCCTTCATGAACAAAATTCTTTGAAATATAGTTAATCATTTCTGGTGTTAGAATTAGATAGAAGTAGTTTTTTATCTTTAATTAAATATTAATAAGTTATCACAGACAGCCAGCTAGCATGATTTCCATTCAGTTACTATAGTGTAGTATCCTTGACACATTAGTTATAATTAAGGATTCACTGTTTGGTGTTTCCTCAGATCTATGATGCAGGAGACTTCACCAACCTGTGTTCCGAGTCCAACAGGTGTGGGGAGAGGTGGTCAGGTGGAGACTTTGTTAGTGTTGATAAAGTCATCGTGTGGAGTAATGAGGGCAAAGGTTACCTGTACAAATTACCTACCAAGTAAGTATTCATGATTATTTACCTGTATAAATTACATAACATGTAAACATTTACTCTGAAATATACGACATACCTATGTTAATTACATACCAGGTAATATTTATATTTACATTACCTGGGTAATACTTACCTATACAACTTACTTACCAAGTTAGTATTCCTAATTATTTACCTGTACAACTTACCTGTTCAGACAATTTACCAAGTACTGAAATATACATTGGTGTATAATATACCTACCCAGGTAAATGCATGTTTCTGACATGAAAGTCATTATGTATGAAGAAATACTGAAGTTAAAAGGTATTAAGTCTTTGCATGAAAATTTCCTAAAAAGATTCCTGTATAATTTAAAATGTAACAGTTGAGTTCATCAAAATGTATGAAAATTTCCTAAAAAGATTCCTGTATAATTTAAAATGTAACAGTTGAGTTCATCAAAATGTATGAAAATTTCCTAAAAAGATTCCTGTATAATTTAAAATATAACAGTTGAGTACATCAAAATGTATGAAAATTTCCTTAAATGATTCCTGTATAATTCAGACTATAACAGTTGAGTACACCAAAATTGTTCAAACTGTAAACTTCATCGTTAAACATTTGATAACGACCTAATTAGTGAAAATATCAATAAGAATTATCTACCATACTGCAAATCACTTCCATTTATGTGGGATTTATTTTCAGGCTAATACACAACAAGAGTAAATTGCGAATTCAAATCTCTCGCATTTAATTTTATAGAATTAATTCTTGATGATATCCGCACTGATTTGATTACCGATATCTGAGTCTATTAGCCCGTCGTTTGTGAATTTTCTAGATCACTGTTCACGAAATCATGTATTCGCTAATATGTCTTAGGGGTAAGTTTGTGAAAAAAAGTTTTCACGAAATCTTATTGATTTACAGTAATATATCAGACAGAATTAGAGGAAGTGTGTACCTCATGGCTGGTCCTGTTATATAAAATAAGTGCCATTTTTAAGAAGGACATGAGAACGTACTGCTGCCTACATTGATATTACCCCGTTTATTCAAGCAAAATTAACATAACGGTTCAACCGGAAAAAATATAATTTAGCATTTCAGCTTTACTTGCAGTTCAAGATTAAGCACATGTACCACAACTGAAGATGCTTTTTTTATTAGCCATTAAACATTTAAAATTAAATTCTGTATAGTTATAAGCAAGTTTATATAATATTTTTATTTTTTTCCCCCCCCCCCCCCCACACACACTTTTTTTTTTTTTTTTGAAAAAAATATTAATGACTCCACTCAAAAGTTTTAATTTTATTTTTTCAATTTTTAGAAAAGGGAATTAATTTATTTGATTGATGTTGTTGGTCACACACTTTTATAATCATGAGCACATTAAATTATTTATGTTAATTTGTCAGTCAATCATGTATTTTCCTTTCCAGGAATATTTAATATAGGGGAATGATATTTGGTGTAGAAGAAATAGTGGAGACAACTCTGCTCAGCTCACTCTGGTTTCCAGTTAACTACTTTATCGTGTCACCCTGAAAAAGATTTTTCTTTCATTTAACCAGAATACTTTTCTTCTTGAATGATAAAAAAAATAATAAATTTCAGTTTTTTTTTTATCTCAGCTTGAAAAAAACTTTCATTCCTCAAACTAGAAGTACTAAAATCTTACATTGATAAAACATTTTTGGTAATTTTTTCTTTTTAATTTTAATGTGTAGGAAAAGAAATTACGAGGTATCAAAAAGCAATTCTCACATTTCTTATAAAAAAAAAAATAGATGAAATATCTGTAATATGTATGAAACTAAAACGAACAAAGAAATATTTAAATAAAAGGTGGACAAAAATACTGTATGTCTTCTCTATTTCATTAATTGAAATGATCAACAGAAAAATTGAGATGTTTTGGAAAATAGGTAAAATTAAATTAGTTATAACTGTAGTGTTTTTTTTTCCTTTACAAGCCTTCTGAGGGGCAAGGTGCTTTCCAGGTAAAGGAGAATACAGTCGGCTGCCAGTAGTCTGCATGTGTAGTCGTTAAGTGTGCTGCAAAAAGATATTAGTTTAATTTTCTACTGAGAAGTATGTATCAATATCAGACTTGAAATACATATGAGTAACCGATATAGACTTACCAACCAGTAATCCAGACAGACTTATGTACCAGTAATCCAGACATACTTGGGTACCAGTAATCCAGACAGACTTAGGTACCAGTAATCCTGACAGACTTAGGTACCAGTAATCCAGACAGACTTTGGTCCAAAACACTGACATTTCCTTATATTTGTAAGGACATTACAGTACGATGCCTAAAATTAGTAGCAAATAGCATCAAACCATTGACAAACTTGGTGACAGTTTCAGTATTACCTACAACATACAGTAGTACATGTGGATCAATCCAAATAGCCTTGGCTTTTTATGCATGGATTCTTTTTTATTTTTTATTCGTAAGATATTTTTAGTATACTTCTCCATTTATTGACCTCTCTGAAAGTAGAACTCTCTTATTGTCAAAATTATGTTAGTTTCCAAGTTTTCTTTTTCTTTTGTCAAACAGTCATACAGATCTCTTTGATTTGTTTGTTGTTGCTATGGAATTGTAATCTTTAATGACATAAAGTCATTTTTCATATGATTAGGTTGTTTTAATTTTCCATCACTCCGATTAGTGTTTTAGACTGTTATCTGTAGGAATGTTGTACAACCTGACGGAGGGAAATATTCCTTTAAGATTTAATAAATCCTTGTATTCATCTCGAAACAGATCTATAAGTGTTTAATAATTTGATGACAATCTGCGCTTGTGATTGGTCAAAACTTGTAGTACAGGTTACTAGATTGCTATAGTCACCTGTGAGACGCTAAACGAGGCTAGAAATTGTTATATATAAACTTCTGTGCTTGAATTCTGTCTGTTCAGGTGTAACATTACAGCATGTAGGAAACATGACAGTTATATGATAACTATCATAACTTGTACAACAGAGCAGGGACAAATGTTGTTTGTTTACTGGAATTTAGTATTGAAATTTATAAACCTGAGTAGTGAGTACTATAAATCTGTATTTTTTCTGACCTATTGGAATTTGTCCAAGAGCTTCTTCATTTCATCATTAGAATAATACAGTCTTTATTGTGTTATATTGGCAAGAGTTAAGAGCATACACCATGTAAGTTCCAGTCTTGTATGATTGGAAAAGGGGAGGTAACTGTTAGGAATTGTTCAATCTCAACAGACAAAAGTAATATTTTTATCATACCTGTTGTAGATTTGAAGTTTAATGAAATCAAAAGAACTTTGAATAAAGATTTTTGAGATTTAATTATTGGCAAAAAAATTTTAAGTCATGATGAATATTTTGGATAAAAAAACTCAAGTTTTTTGTAAATTTTCATGAAGTATTTTTGGTCCTTTCAAGTAAAAGTATGTACATATATTTACAGTCATGTAGAACTTCTACTGGTAAATGTATTTGAAGTTCTAGTGTCTTTAGGCTGAGGAGTAGACATGAAAATTCTTTATCAGGATGTCAAAAGTTTATTTTCACACTTAAATACGAATTCATTTACACAGTAACTTAATTAGATTTGCATATCTTTTCATGTAAACTTACAGTTGTGACGTATCAAAAATCTCTCCCCAAAACATGTAAGTACCCACAACCCTGGTATCATGACTGGGAAAGGTCAAGGGTTATTTTGGCTGATGTTGACTTGAAATACTAACAATTAATGCTAAACCTCTATAAAGAATATACAATTTATTTCACAAAACATGAAAAGTTTGTACAACTCTTGTGTGTGTGATACGGTATTACGTTTAAGCTGTGAAGATTGTTTATGCCTGAATTTTGCACAGACGTCAAGGCTTTTATATATCCATATCTGTATTCTATGTTCTGTATTCTTTGACTCATCCTTGATACTCCAGGATTATGGTCACTTTCGCTCTTTGCACCCCTGGAGCATGTCATGGAAAATTGAAGGATCTATGTGTGACACCTTGTAGAAAAAGATGAAAAAAACTAGTTTGATCCTTTGATGTACATCAAAGGATCTTGAGGTTGCATAACGGTATGTTGGAATGGCTTTAAATTGGGTGTCGCTCTTTTGTAATCTTCAAAAGGAGCATAACAGCCTGTGATTGGTCAGTTTTTTTCTTCTGTAACCAATCAAATTACTTTGGTTATGACTTCAATTTTGCCATGACATGTTCCAAGGGTGCAGAGAGTGAGAGTGACCGTAACCTCTGGAGTATCGAGGGTGTCTTTGACTCAACAAATGAATTTTGTTAGTAAGTACAGCTCTTATTAACACTTAATATTTTCATATTTCATACTTTACAGAAATGTTGTACATAGGAAATCATATTAAGTATAAATTGGTTCAGTTTACAATGCTATCTACGAAATGACAAGATCGATTAGGTATCTGTTATATTCTCATATTTCACATAAATATTCACAAAGAAAAAAGGGAAAAAAATGTTGAGAAAATTTTATAATTTACTTACTGGATGAATTGATCATCAGTTTAATACTGGTTGAAATTTCTTACGTGAAATTTAAACCTTTGCCTCATTCCAGATTTTTGCTGAGGTCGCCATCTGTAAAGAAATAATTTTATTGTATTTCGGAACACCTGCACAGAAAGTTGTATTGAAACAGGACTTTAACTCTGAGTTGCCTGTTGTATACAGATGGTTCCTATAATTAAAAATCCTGCTATTTTCAAGATGGTTGTTGTGGCAGCCATCTTGAAATATGAAATATCCTTATGATAGTTTGGGCTTATGTTAAAAAAGCAAGTAGTTTGACATCAGTAGAGTACTACTTCAATCTGAAAGTTTTTTTTGTTTTTTGTTTGTTTATTTTATTGATTTTTTTTATTATTTATATACATATATATTCTCTTTTAAAATAACTAACCTCATGATATCCATTAATTTTGTAAGTTGGATTCCCAGTTTGTAGATTGCCATTGATATAACACAATTTCTTATTTGACTGTTAATTATAAACATACTAAGCTTCACTTTGGAAAATTTTAAATTTCTTCAACTGAAATGCCTTTCTCTTCACCTTTTTCTTAGATCTGTGCTTGAATGAAATTCTACAGTGTGATATATATTTCTCTATTGGGCTTTAATTCCTTGTATTGTGCGAATTCAAAAGTGTACTTATTTTTTTTCATCACAAAAATGTTGACTCTCTTCTGGAAATATATATGTTACTATCACAGTACAGTTTGATTTGAACATATTTGAAAATAAAAAACTGCAACAATATCGTGTAGAATTCCAATACAAGGTTTCAACATTTGAATAGATACCAGTGTTAAATTGTTTGTTGGAAAAATTTGAATTAATCAGAGTTGAATCATTCCTATCCATACCAGGTGTAAGATTTATTCAACATGTATGCTTCAAACTTTTTGTCAAAAATAATAATTTTTTAGTTATTTGTTGGTGTATATGTACTGATAAATGATATTTGACGCGATGAAGGACAGATCTGTCATCTACATGTATTCTGTAACGTATCTTAACAATATTTTTATATTATAGGAATGTCACATGTTTCACTTCTAACTAAAGCTGCTACTGTTTTGTCATTGTTTTTGTCAGATTTACATAGTGGCACTCTTTAATTTATTCTTGGCTTGTTGTGAATGTTGAACATGCTATATCTTAACAGCTTTTATCTTTACAAGTTATGAATAAAAAAAAAAAAATAATAGAAATTGTGAGAATTTAAAAACTGAAATATGAAAATGTGTCAAAAATTCTGTTGAATACAGATGCATTGTTTTAAGAAGATGATATTGAACAGCTTTTATTTAAGTTTGTCATAGAGCTATATGTTCAATCATAATGACGTTTTGGTTGTAGATTAATTCTGTCTCCAAACGTACTTTGATTAAGTAGATAGAAAGATCTGGTATTTTACATGTTTAACAAAAAGTACAATCAGTTCATATTAAACGTACAATGTAACCCAAATCCAAGTGACTGTCAGCAGAGATTTAGTCAAATAATTCTGACGTTGTGTCAACTTTTATATATCAGCTTTGAGTTGACTCCAAGCCGATATATAATAGTCGATAGAATGTCAGAATGGTTTGGATTAGCAGAGATTGTGAAGAAACTGGAATCCTTCCACTTGATAATCAGGCTACATTAAAGTTGGTAACCATTGCTGTATTAACTTGGTTCCGTAAATGACCAGGCCTCAATATCACAAATCTTTCTTAACTTTAGGAGATCTTAACTGCCATAGAAAAACTTAAATTTAAGAAAATTTCCTTAATTTATGTAATGCTTTCCTATGGGGAATTTTAAAATTCCTTAAGTTAAGTAAGATTGGTGACACTGGAACCAGTAAAGCCATGTTAATTAAGCCACTTTTGATTATTCAGCCCTAATAAGTATTTTGAACATTGATTTTGTAGACCGAGACTATACCCACTAAATTGTACACGTAATCTGCATCTTTCCATAGAAACAGAGCTTGTTATGACCGGTTTATTGAGGTTTATTGTAGACAGATGTACAATATTGTTGTGACATGTTGGTCCTTGTTTTACAGTGCCACACCTGACAGCCCTGACTACCACCGACAGAGTCACCAGCCGTCATCACCACATGCATACTACATACTCGACATGTACTCGGAACTGGTAATCTTCTTTTACACCCTACAATAGCGAGGGCTTTCTAAATAAGGTTCATTTGTCAGTAATTTGTTCCATTAACAAATTGAAAATTATGACTTAGTGAAAATTACTGAAATTCAAGTAATATAAAAAATCAAATTAAGTTCCTATAAAAAAAAACTTTAAAATCCCTTTAAAAAAAAAACAAAAAAAAAAAGATAATAAAATATTAAAGCTGTAAAGAATTTTATATGATTTTGCATGATGTACCAGAATTTCTTCACAAAATTGTTTCTGATCTATTTATCATTGGATCTCAAAAGTGGAAAGTTTACTATGTAGACAAAGACTGATATTATAGTCAGGATATTCATGGCTTTCCATTGTCATTCACTTCATTGTGTTTTTTTATTGAAAACTTTTGTGGCATACAGGTATAAAGAATATCATGATTAATTCTTTAATCCATAATATGGTTTCTCTATGGATTTTTCCAGTACACTGTAAAACTGAACATTTTTTCGATTAGTTCTTTAACAATATTATAGTTAAAAGAAAAGTACAAATATGATGTACATTTGATGTGAAACAGAAATGATGGCTATGTATATCATATGTACCTGGTAAGTAACATAAGTATAGGTACACATTGACATCAAACAAATCTTAAACTTGTTTGTGTTTCCGACAGTCTATGGCCTGTTCTCCGGCTATGACCTTTCACCAAGGTCAAGAGGAGAATCCTACCCAACTTTTGATCCGTGGAGACTCCGAAGGTCAGCTGGTTGCTTGGACGCTGCCTACTGTGACAGAACGACAGATGACCTTGGTCAGACAAGAAAGTTTTGACCGCCTTCCAGGTAGGACAATCTGAACTTGATATTTTTTTCATCTCGAAGTCTTTAGATTGAAAAATTATAACCAGTAACCCAAGTACACGTATACTGATGAGTTTTGTGTCGTTATACGACTGACAAATGTATGACATTATTATCTACGTTTTTGTACAGCTTTGCCTCCACGATGCAGCACAACTCTACAGGAAGTATGGGACAGCCTCTATCAGCCTCCTTCTGGTATCATTGACGGATTGGTAAGTCATATTTAGCGAAAGTTTCTAGGTTGATGGCACAGAGGAATTTTTCATTTTTTGGCAAAGGGTCCATTATTGTTTGGTAAAAATAATTTATATTTTCATAAATATCGCATGAAATTATTGTGCAGATGACAGGAATTTTATGTCTAATACTTGTTTATTTTTCATTCGGTAATATAACTGAAAAATGAATTTAAAACATACATGATTTTGTATTGTCAGTGTGACGAGGAAGGGAGACCACTCCATATCACGTCCACTATCTACATCCCATCTCAAGGCAAGGTAGCGTGTGGCAGGGAGGATGGGAGCATAGTTATTGCACCTGCTACCCAAAGTATAATTACCCAACTGCTTGACTTCAAGATCGACAAAGATGGTGATTATCATTTTACCAGTTACAATATGTAAATAAAAATTAGTGATCATTATTGGCTTAAACATTTGTATGATATGTTTTTCATTCAAAAAAAAGAAAAAAGAAAGTATCTCATTTCAGAACAAAATATATTTGAAATTTGTGTGTAGTCACAAATCACTTTGAATAACAGTCAACTGCACACTAAGATAGGAAAGCTAATCAGTTTCATTTTAAGACCAGCCTTGAAATCACACAAGATATTCTGATATATCAAAGTAGATGTGGAACTTGTATTGTTTTTTGTTTCTTTCAAATGTCTACAATTTTGAAGTTCTTTGAAATTCTTTCGTATATTATTTCAGACATTCCCACCCGTATATTGAGAGGACATGATGGTCGAGTGACATGTCTGTTATACCCATTTAATGACAGTTCACGATACGAGCCGAGTCACCTCCTGTCAGGTGGAGCTGATTTTTCTGTTATGCTGTGGGACATGTACAATGGGTTGAAGCTTCATACATTTACAGTGCATGGAGGGGAGATAACTCAGCTCATTGTTCCGCCCTGCTCCTGCAATGTAAGCTTTAGGAGTCTCTTTTATCTCTCTATTTGAAAACTTTTTCACATTTCTTGAATATTATTTGTACTTAACTTGAAAAATAAGTCAAATGTAAATTTTAAAAAAGCAACCTTTCAAGTAAATAGTGCAGTCTGAATGTAGAGTTTGTGAAATATATATACAATATATCAGTTTGTGAACTGAAGTCAAATTTGTGCAATCCTATATTTTTTTCAGACAAGAATTTTGTCATCCGTTTGCTCAGTGGCAAGTGATCATTCAGTAACTCTCTTGAGTCTGAAGGAGAGAAAATGTATTATGCTCGCTGGTCGTCACCTATTTCCCGTACAGACCATAAAGTGGCGCCCTCTTGATGACTTCATGGTTGTGAGCTGTTCTGATGGCACAGTGTACGTCTGGCAGATGGAAACAGGTATTTTTGTTGAAGATTTGTTTGAATATGAGAAAAATATTAAAAAAATTATGAATATGCAAATGATGATACATGTTAGATACGTAAAGGCTAATGGCAAAGATATCTAACCTTTAAGATCTTTTTATCTTGTGTATAAAATGTGCTTGATCTTTTACTAAACTGAAATGTAGACATGTAAAAATTTTACCTGAATCTGGATACAGTATCCAATGATACAATGACTGGCTTTATTTTGCATCTCAATTTTCCACTTCATCTAAGATTTATAAAAATTTTCAAGAATTTGAATTGAAAAATAGAGTCAGATGCACTGTAAGTTATTTATACATTTAAACTGAACAGAAGAATTTGAAACATGAAAACATATTTGACTATACCTGTAAACATCAACTGAAAAGGGAAAGTCATGTTGAGATTCCAGTCAGGTTTTTAAGTGGTACCCATACACTGTAGACCACCCGCAGTGTCCTTCTCTTTAGTCTGTTTTTTTTTGTATTTCTCCAACAGGGCACCTAGACAGGGTGGTACATGGCATTACAGCAGAAGAAATTCTAAATAATTGTGATGAAAATGCCGCCCCTACAGATCAGCTCATCAATCCCAATCTAACGCTAGCCCAGGCCATCAAACGTCGTAATCTCTTGACTTTCAAAAACCTGGCCCAACAGAAACTGCAACAACAGATGGTTCAGCAACAACAGGCACAAGGGGCTCGCTGTGACCTAGTCAAACCGCAATCCTACCCGATGTACATACAGGGCGTGAGGACCAATACCCGTAATCCTGATGCCCACATCATCTTCTTTGATACAGAGTCTCTGATTGGTGGGTTACAGGCAAATGGGCGGGGCTTATGAGATAAATTGTTGTTGACATTATGATAGAAAGGAAATTCTATTTTAAAGTAAATAGATTCTTTCGTGCAAAGAATCCATAGATAAACATTGAATGGGCTGATATTTTTTCTGTTTGACTCAATATAAACTTGCGAGATTGGCAGAGATAAATGCTCTCTGTTGTATGGCAAATATGGCAGCTGCAGAAATCTATTTTCTTTAGATTTGTAACATTTTCACGCCATTTACGTCTTGAAACAAAATATTTTATGATCTGGTACCTTATAGCAGCTTATTTTCATGGAGACAAAATTTTTGCTGTTTCATTGTACATTAATGTGATCGCAAAAATATAATCCATGAAATAATGAGACACATTCATGTATAAATATCATTTTACATCAAGATCACGAAATTTTTATTCGTTGAAATATTATTCAATTGTTCATAAAGAAAATTGCAAAAATTTTGTCCTGTGAAAATCATCAGCTATACGGTATGCTGGGATTAAAAACTACTGATTGAGAAGACATGTTTGCATGCCATTTGAATCCTAACTGCATGTTTGTTATAAGATTGTGTCTATTAGTTTCTAAGGGTTGTTTACCGTGCACGATGACCTCCCACCTCTTCTGACCATGTGTGTACTATCAATGGTTAATTAAGGACTTCAATTTATGTTGTTGGAGAAATAATTATATCTTAGATATTATCAATACTAGTAAGATAGGTACATAACAGTTACAATACCGTAAGTACAGCGGCCTTTTTTCAATTCAGTCAAATAGAGGGTAGTATTACAGGTATGTTACAGAAGTCATTATTTATTTCAATGCCTCTGCTAGGAAACAAACCCGGGACCCTGGGCCTAATAGTCTGATGCTCAAACGATCGAGCTAAAGAGGATTTCTCTCTAGCTGAGTGGTATATTGTGGCTAGTATTTTACCTGGGTTACAGGTAATACATGCTCATAAAAATTAAAATAATCACATATTTAGGCAGATCTGTCCTAGTTGTTAATGACATGCTTTTGTTAAGCTGAATGGTCATCAGGTCTGATACTTAATGATAAAAGTAGTCTTTGTGATTATGGCTTACAACTTCATTTCAATGTGCTGTACAGGCAAGCATATTTTCCTGTTATAATCACACTTATATTACAGTTAACGCAAGCAGAATGGTCGTCTGTTTGTTTAATGGCATATTTGATAAGGCTTCAACTGGTAATATGATGAAAACAAATTAAATAAGTGGTGTATCAACAGTTCATGGTAAGCTGAACGGTCTACCTCCTAACAGTGCATGTTGGTGATTGTTTTTGATGTATTGTTACCTTCCTTGTGATGGGTTGTCTCCCCTACTTTCTAAACAGTCCAGCTGCTTACTGACGAATATGCCCTGATGTCGCCAGGAGAGCTTGAGGCAAAGGGCTTTTTCTTACCGGGACCAACAGATGCCCCTAGTGGGGACATAAACGAGGCCCAGGCCAAGATAGCAGGTTTGTTGGGACCCTCCATCCTCACCCAATGTTGTCCTGGTGATCAAAGCAGCTTGAGGGCATGGTTGATCTGTTCTGATTTATTACTCTGAAATTCAATTTTTTTCTCAAATGACTGTCTCTTAATGATTTGTACCTTGGTTAGGCCAGCAAATTGTTTGTTCTACAGTTTTAAGATACATATCTCACATTATAGAAGACATTATTCCTCAAAATAACTGGACGATATAAAAAACAGTGTCAAATTGTAAACCAGACTAAAATTGTTTAAGACACAAAAAGAGAATTGTACATTATATCTCCTAATGATAATAAGAATTTGAGGACAAAAAATAGACGTCAGTGTGCTGTACATTTAAAAATGTGATAAATCAGGTGTGTTTGACTGGTCCTCCATCAGCTGTACGAGTGATACGATTAATACTGTGTGTGTTGTAAAGGACATTTATAGGGTTAATGTGCTGTTGTTAATGCCCCAAAAATTCACTGTACCGAAGTGTTATAAATATGGAGTACATAATGCGATGATAATTATTTCATTCAATATGTCTATTAGCCTTATTATTTCAACATGTATTTTATAATGATAAAATGAATTTTAAAGATATTGTATTCTGTAGAATTTTAACACATTCTGGTTATTTCTGATAGTCTACGTACCTAAGCTGACAGTAGACTGTAGTGTTACATTTTATTTTAACTCAAATAGTTTTTAAGAAAATATTTTACAAACTTTCTTATATTACATATTATGTATTATTGGAGTTATGTGTAATCTGTAAAGGTATGATGGCGAAGATTAAAGAGAAAGCCGACAGCGTGGGACAAAAGATTCAAGCCAGAGTGGACTCTTCTGGAATGAGCGCCTCTCCTTCAGGAAGTGCGCGGGAGTCACCAAGTCTCGGGCGAAGAGGCTCGCCAAAAATCAACATTTCTGGACAAGCTGACACGAACCTGACGATGGAGATTGCGCAGTTATTCATGTCCTGTCTCCATGCCTGGGGTCTTGACCCTGACTTGGACAAGTTGTGTGTTAACAAGTTAGGGTTGTTAAAACCTCGGTGTCCTATATCATTTGGACTGATATCTCGCAGCGGCCATATGTCCCTCATGTTACCGGGTTGGCATAAAAAGGTTTGTCATGAGGAAATGGGCGTGCCTGAACCACAAAAATCAGTCATGCCTGGCAGAGGAAGAGGAAAGGTGACTTTGAAACAGCAGGCAAGGTCGGCGACTTACAGTGAAATAGAGCGTAACAGGTTGAGTGGTGATTACACAACCGACAGTGATATAGAAAACGAGCATGGTCCGTTGACCAAGCGTCCATCAGATGGCGCTGTGTTAGGGAAGGAGAGTTTCCAACAGCAGGAGATGAAGATCTTTTCTAGCAAGGCTCGATGGCAGATTTCCAGTGGAGTAACCACACAGCATCTCCTCAGTGTTATATCTACAGCTAACACACTAATGAGCATGAGTCACGCAACATTTGCTACGAAGCGCATCATCAAAAAACATCTTAAAGGGTGAGGGAGACAATAGTGTTATCTTACCCCTATCTAAACCCTTAAAACTGAAAAATTAATTATTTTAACTGAATATACTGGCATTCAAATCTTAAATAGGAACAAGCATTATAGTTCAGGCTTAAGTTTTTCGTGATTTTGTAACTTTGATATGATCAGGATATTCAAAGAATTTCAACGAATAGTTTATATACAACAAGAACGCACAAAAACAGTTAAATGTTTATTACACTAAAGAAAATAGACAAGCTACGGTTTGGCGTAACAGGGGCTACTCACTCTATTCATAATCACTATTAACTACTAGAAAATTATAACTTAAAACAAGACTCTGAGCTGTTTCGGAGCTAGATTAAGAGTCCCTACAGAGAAGTTACTAGACCCTGGACGATACCAGAGAAGCTACTAGACTCTGCAAGTGGCCCTAGAAAAACAGCATTATAAATAGAATATTCACCACCAGCTAGACCCTCAACGATATGAGAGAAGCTGAAACAAATTGGGAATATTCTATTATTATGAATTGGGGGTCAAATTCCCCAAGAATTAAGTGCCAAAAATGAACGTATGTTTTAACAGAGTGATAACACGCAGGTAAAACAGAGTGAGAGCCCCCGAAAGAAGGAAAGGAAAGTCATGGAAATATTTAAACTAATTAGGATGTTTGATATGCTGTGTTGCTTCATAAGCTGGATTAAGTATTGAACTAGTTTCCTGATTTTGCATAGAAGTTATATTCATTGATCTACATTTTTATTACATAAGCCCAAAACTTAAAGTTTATCTTTTAAATGATGTTATCCTTTGTTTAAATGCAGAACACAATATTATCTCTGTCCTTATAAAGGAACAATTTTCTGATTGGATGAATACATTATTATTTGTGGTATTGACAGAACCAAGATTGGGGTTCATAAAGGGTTATTAGTGGCTGAGGACAACAGTTCAGAAGGTGGTAGTGAGGATGAGTCAGATATGGCCATGATGCAACAATCACAGATAAAACAGGGATGGAGTCTTCTCGCTGCACTCCACTGTGTTCTACTCCCGGAAATGGTTGGCTCCTCCAGTATCCAGCCTCCTCAACTGGAGATGTTAGCACGGCGCTGGCAGGACAGGTGTCTGGAGGTAAGTTTACCTGTCTTAATGTAAACACAGCCCAGACAAGACAGGTGTCTTGAGGTAAGTTTACCTGTCTTAATGTAAACACAGACCAGACTAGACAGGTGTCTTGAGGTAAGTTTACCTGTCTTAATGTAAACACAGACCAGACTAGACAGGTGTCTGGAGGTAAGTTTACTTGTCTTAATGTAAACACAGCCCAGACAAGACAGGTGTCTTGAGGTAAGTTTACCTGTCTTAATGTAAACACAGACCAGGCAGGACAGATGTCTGGAGGTAAGTTTACCTGTCTTAATGTAAACACAGCCCAGACAAGACAGGTGTCTTGAGGTAAGTTTACTTGTCTTAATGTAAACACAGCCCAGACAAGACAGGTGTCTTGAGGTAAGTTTACCTGTCTTAATGTAAACACAGACCAGGCAGGACACAGTTTACCTGTCTTAATGTAAACACAGACCAGACTAGACAGGTGTCTGGAGGTAAGTTTACCTGTCTAAATGTAAACACAGACCAGACTAGACAGATGTCTGGAGGTAAGTTTACCTGTCTAAATGTTAACACAGCCCAGACAGAACAGGTGTCTGGAGGTAAGTTTACCTGTCTAAATGTAAACACAGCCCAGACAGAACAGGTGTCTTATGCTCTAAGAATGGACTGTCTGACAAGTATTGTAAAATGGCTGATCAAAATATGATAGAATCAAAGATAATATTCTGTCATAATTTCTGGTACAGATTCGGGAAGCAGCTCAAGCACTGTTGCTAGCTGAGCTTCGTAGGATTGGACCAGAAGGAAGGAAAGAGGTGGTGGACATTTGGTCTCCTTACCTCCCTACTTATGTGGATCAGAATGTCAGTCTAATGGCCAGTGATGGCTCGCGAGCCGAAGATGAAGACGAGGATTATGATGATGAGGATCCAATGGTTACAGGTAAACCACCAAGTAAAATTTGCTTGTGCTTCAGGTATTGCTACTAAACTTAGAATCCGTTTTTAAAACTTTATTTTTTGTAGTGAAAAGGAATATTTACAAAATAATTTTACCTTCCTCAAAAAACATTTGTATCTTTCTGCTTGAAACTATGAAATAAAATTCCAATGCACCTCAGAAAAAATTTGTTCTGATTTCTGCAGATAGGTCAGTTCAAATGCTGGTGCTTTATTTTGATTCAATTTTACACTGAGTTATAAGCTTTCATAAAGAATCATTTGTTGAAAATAATACTATTTTGCTCCCCAAATGGAGAGCATGTAATACCTGCTTTGTCCATTTGTCTGTCCATTCGTCCATCCTGCCGTCCATCATAATTTTGTCCGGAGCATATCACAAAAACTACAAGATGTATCAACATGAAACTTGATAGGTAGATAGATCTCGATAGGGAGAAGTGCAGTGTTCAAGAACCATAACTCTCTTTTGCATAATTTAGGTATTATTGAAACTTGGTGAATACATTGATCATACTAAGAGAATGTACAGTATACCAAATTCAGGGCCTGCAACTTCTTAACTACAAAAATAATTCCCTTTGATTAATTTTTGTGTTCAATAAAGTCATTTTCGGGGAGCATTCAGTTTCACTGATACTCTTGTCCTTTGAAGTATAAAATAGAAAGTTTCTTTCAGGTGACTACCCAGTCAACAAGACATCAACCTCATTTGAGAGTCGTCGTAAGCAGGCAACAGCTATTGTCATGTTAGGTGTGGTCGGAGCTGAATTCGGACACGAGATGGAACCATCACGACGTAAAAACGAGGATATTAAGAAATCCAGAAAAGTATCGTCAGCAATCAACCAGGACGGCTTCACTCTGACAAACTACTCCCTATCCAGACATACCAGTATGTTATACCCTAGCCTGATTTGTTACAGTCTGTAGCTACAGATCAGTAGCATTAAAATTTTCAGATTGTGTAGGAGGGGTTCAGGGCTCTTGTTTGTAATTAACGTCTTCACAATTAATATCAAGTATTATTTCACTGCCTCCAAGAAAAGGGCTTGTGTAGGCTTCTGTCTGTTTCCAGCTTCCGTTTGGGTTTAACTCATTTTAGTAAAATATTTAAGTATATGAAATTTCTGCCCATTGGAAAAATTCTTACTTTTCTCCCTCAGAAATCCATTTTTTTAATTGCCTGTCGACTTTTTTGCATCTATAATCTAGTGACAAAAATCCACTGAAAATCCGGAATATCGGTACTGATTTGCTTAGACATACCACACCAGGCATCATCAGAATGCATTAGAATAAATCAGAAAAAACAATATAGGATGTACAAACGCTTACCATGCCTAGATGTAGAACTACCATAACACAATTTATCAGTATAAAACGACATACTAAAACTCCCTAATACTCCTCCAAATGGCACCATTTTCATTCTAAAATTTCAAAATTTTCTCGGGGGGCATGCCCCAAGACGCCTCTAGAATGTTTCCTCACTTTGCTTGGTCAGTGGTCTGGTCCATCAATTGTATATCCGACTTTTTTATGACTTTTCACCCATTTGCCTGAATCTTTGTGAAATGGTTGTATATTTTAATTGCTGTATCATGTTGCCATTGAAATTAACAGAACGACTTGAATGTTTATTTAAATCAGAGTAAGCATATTGGTTTTAATTACAGTATTTAAATGAAAGTAAGCCCATGCTTGGTAAAGATCCAACAACTTGTAGATATTGTTCTTCCCAAAGATTATAAATCAATATTATTAGTTCATTGTCCTTTGATAAGCCTATCCCCTGATTTTATATGAGAAATTATGTGTTGCTTACCCATCCCCTCCTCCCTCCCCCCACCCTCCCCCCACCTCCCCCACCCTTCCCACACCCTCCCCCACCCTCTTCACACAAACAGGGCTGTTGCAGGATAATAGTTCTAAGATTAAGTTATACTGACATTGATAAAATACGGTTTTGTAATTTGTTTATGATGATAAAATGACAGAGTCGCGGAAAATTTCTGTATTTCTTTTAACAGGTAAAGCACTGATGTATTTACTACAGCAGCCCCCGAGCCGGCGCCTGCCTGCTCACACACCCATCAGACGTGCGTCAGTGGATCTCCTGGGACGTGGTTTTACTGTGTGGGAGCCCTATCTGGACGTATCTGCTGTATTAATGGGTCTACTGGAGCTGTGCTCAGATGCTGAAAGACTAGTACCACAGTAAGCCATATTCACCACAGATAGAATTAATCAATATTTATCAGTCATGTCAGTCCCTCATTCCACTCCTTTACATGACATTAACACACAAAAAAAAATCACATATAAGTGTTTTATAGTATATCGGTCTCATCTGAATTTATTCAGACGTATAGCTGTTACTGAAATTTGTCAGAAAATGTTCAGAATTGTTTTTCTGAAGCTGAATCAAGCACAGCGTTTTCAAATTGGTAGTTCTTTCTAGGATATCAGTACACTGTATAGTCATATACAGTGTACATATTGTGAAGTTTTTTTTTTTTTTTTTTGCTTTTTTTTCAAAAATCACTTTTTTGTTGACAATTTATTTATGGATAAGTATAGCTCCATCAATCTACTTAAATTAATTGTAAGGGTTCAAGGACATTTGAATTCCTCAGAAACGACGAAAATTTTAACAATTTTACTGTAAATTCTTTGTTAATGTAATGGAACAAAGATAGGAAATTTATATTTACAATTCCAGCAGTATGACATATGGTTTACCTTTGACCCCGGCTGCCGATGCCTGTAGAAGTGCACGCCACGCCCTCTCTCTCATAGCCACAGCGAGGCCGCCAGCTTTCATTATCACTATAGCTAAGGAAGTGGCACGCTACAACGCTCTGGCACAAACAGCTCAGTCTCAGCATTCCAACATCCACAATAATGTCCTTGTGAAGAGTAAACAAGAGATACTGCGTGTGGTGGAACTCCTGGTGGAGAAAATGCCAAACGATGTCGCTGATCACCTGGTGGAGGTTCGTGTATCAGCGTATATTATTTGATACCTAAATAAATACTCTTACAGAGTTTCATTGCATTTTACGAAACAAGTCAAAACACAAAGTTTTTTTCTTTATGAGCCTTGTAAGGGGACAAGTTTAATAAAATGTCATACGAAATGAAAAAAAAATTAGATACACAGTGACATATACACATATACACAGTAATATATACACATATACACAGTGATATATACACATATACACAGTAATATATACACATATACACAGTGATATATACACATATACACAGTGATATATACACATATACACAGTGATATATACACATATACACAGTGATATATACACATATACACAGTGATATATACACATATACACAGTGATATATACACATATACACAGTGATATATACACATATACACAGTGATATATACACATATACACAGTGACATATACACATATACACAGTGACATATACACATATACACAGTGATGATATATACACATATACACAGTAATATATACACATATACACAGTGATATATACACATATACACAGTGATATATACACATATACACAGTAATATATACACATATACACAGTGATATATACACATATACACAGTGATATATACACATATACACAGTGATATATACACATATACACAGTAATATATACACATATACACAGTGATATATACATATATACACAGTGATATATACACAGTGATATATACACATATACACAGTGATATATACACATATACACAGTGATATATACACATATACACAGTAATATATACACATATACACAGTGATATATACACATATACACAGTGATTTATACATATATACACAGTGACATATACACAGTGACATATACACAGTGACATATACACATATACACAGTGACATATACACAGTGACATATACACAATGACATATACACACATACACAGTGACATATACACACATACACAGTGACATATACACATATACACAGTGACATATACACAGTGACATATACGTGACATATACACAGTGACATATACACATATACACAGTGACATATACACAGTGACATATACACAATGACATATACACACATACACAGTGACATATACACAGTGATATATACATAAGTTATCCATTCATGTACACACATTCTCACAATAAACATAATTGCTTATATACACATATTCATACCACATACACCACCACACACAAGACTGTATACTTTATATACACACACACACACACACACACACACACACACACACACACACACACACACACACACACACACACACACACACACACACACACACACACACACACACACACACACACACACACACACACACACACACATCCCATACACTCCCAAACTTTCTAAGTGTATTAACCTAAGCAAAATCTATTTTTTTTGTTATAGTTCTAAAATGTTGTCTTATAATAAAGAAAACCTTATTAATTTGGTCGATGTAGGTGATGGATGTCACAATGCACTGTCTTGATCCCAGTCAGCTCAAGTCAAAAGGATTGATGGATCTGTTCCCTGCCATTTGTCGGTAAGTCACCATTTCATATCTTAGCAGCACGTGAATAATTTCTAAATACATTCTAAACTGTATATAGAAATTTGTTGAGTAAGATTTGATAACAAGCTTTTTGTAACTTAACAAAACACCAAGAAAGCGACCTTTGAATTCCTGATCTTACGGGATATCTGTTTTCCTGAATCAACAACATTATATTGACTAGATACTGTATCATAGATACGTTTTGGTGTTGGAGCAGTTATACAAAGCTAGATAGGTATATTTGTATGGTATAAAGTGTTTTGGCAATGAAATTTCCTCTCGTTCTGTATTTATTTGAGCTATTAACTCTAGGAAGCAAATAAAATGAAGTTTGTTTTGTGTGGTGATGAGTGGAGATGAAGAAGTCCAAACACTGTTGGGGTTGTTATAGGTTTATTGAGGTGTAGACTATAGAGATGGGACACTCACATGCCTTCAGAAACTGATACATACTGGCTAGAAATGTGGTCGTATTTATACTAGCCATGTTAATTAACTGATAAAGTGATATTACACATTAGCTAACAGGTAAACAAGGATTGAATAATACATGAGTTATTGACATGGTCTTGCACACATAAATGGCAATAGATTCGGCTGTTTACAACCAGATGAAATTACACTGACCATCATACAGACTGCTTAGATAGACCTCAGGTAAAGACTTATATAACCAGGGAACAAATTAATACATGAACATGTGTAGTAGATCAGTAACGACAGAATGTCTCTGGCGACTGGTCAATATATAATTATTCACAGTAAATGTCAGTAATAAATTAATTATTTACATTATGATGAAACATCTGACTTATGTCTAGCACAATTTTTAGTTATTTAATTAACTTCCATATTAACTTTTAATAGTTCACAAAATCTTTATTTTACACACGATATTATCTAAATGTGAATGTGTTCAGTATGCAGATAGATAATGATTGACTTTGTGAGACAAGGTTGAACTTTTCATCACTGATCCTTCACAATATTGTACTAATTACACAACATTTTACTGAATACTAACAGATTTGTTTGGGGTGATCAGGTGGCGTAGTGGTAACGCACTCACCTTTTACCTAGCTGTTCGGGGTTCGATTTCCGGAACGGACATGTAAAGGTATGGGCTCACCTGCCCGACTATGCGAGTTTTTACTAGGTATTCTGTTTCCTCTCTCAGTAAGACCCCTCGTACACTTCCATCAGGACCAACAACAGTGATTAATATAAGCTGATAGCTTGTTTTGCAACAGTTGTAAAACAAATAAAGTTAAAAAAAAAAAATTTAAAAAAGAAAAAAAAAAAAACTTTCTCCTTTCAGGTTCAGCATGGTCACTGTGTGTCCAGTCACGAAGAGGATCTGGGTCGGAGCAAAAAATGGTGGCTTGGCTTTCTATGATCTCAAACAACATTCAAAATGTCAGGTAAATATGATATTGTCTTGTAATAAGTAATCAAATTACTGCTTGTGCCTTCAATTTTGCCATGGCATGTTCCAGGGGTGCAGAGAGCGAAAGTGACCGTAACCCTTGGAGTATCAAGGATGAATTGGTTTATCATTAAATATCTTTTGAAATAAAACAGAATGTGTGAGATAGTATGTTTATAATTACACAACACTAATGTGCCACTATTGTCATATTGTTATTAAAATATTAAAAATATTATCCACAGATGACCACTGCCCACTCGGGCCCAGTGGTAGCCACATGTGTGTCTCCAGAAGGAAAATACCTGGCTACCTACTCCCATATTGACAACAGACTCAAGTTCTGGCAGGTTAGTACTACATGTACAAGATCTTTAATGGTCACTTTGAGTTTGATTCCACTGTTAGCAATTCAGGATGTTGTATATCAAAGCTTTGCATACTCATTAGTCACCCAAAGAATGCGAGTACCAAAAGTACCCTGGTTTGAGAATCTCTTGAATTTTGGTCAAAATCGGGAGATTCAGTGTATTCGCTCAAAAGTTACTTTATTTTTTAGTGAATTTTTATTTAACAAATGTCAGATGTGATAGTATCTTACAGTTTTAGGGTTATCAATGTCAAGGTCATTATCACAATTTCCTAGTTATGATATTTCCGTAGATTTTTTGGGCTCTCTATGTCAAGGTTACTTTTACTATTTATAAGAAACTGTCATTAATTTTAGATGTTTATCAAAGTTTTATACTTAATTTAAATTTGAAACATGCATCATGTTGATGGTATTTTAAGAACCTAATGTTAAGGTCAAGGTTACCATTACTTCGGTAGAAATTTTGTTAACAATGGAAAAAAAATGATGTCAAAATGTTTTTTTCAAAAAATACCAGAAATGAATCTGGGTATTACAAAATATATCCCAGTCAGGTGTAATAAGTAGGATTTTCTATAGGTAAGTATCAGAAACCTCTCTCGAGTCTTAGATTTTGCTACATCTAATAAGAGGTTGTTGTAGAACATATCATAATTGTCAATATGAGTGATTTTCAGAAATGGTTTGAATGCTTTATTTACTCCAGTCATCAGCTGTTTGGTGGACTACTAAACAAACAGTAACTTATTATTGTCTTTTCAAACCCCAAACAAATACTTTGTACTTCAAAAAAAATGTGTATTTTCATTACCAGGAAAGTGATTTTCAGAAAATAAATCCTAAAGGAAAGGTATGTTATTTTTGGGATTTAAAATTGCATTGATTATGTTAAAAAGGGAAAACAACTTGTGAGCTGTTGTCATGGTAATTTCTATTGAAGGTGTCATATGTTGTCATGGTTACACAATATGTATACAAGGTACAGTATTTGTTATGATGGTATCTTGGTAACCTGTGACTGGTATCTAAGGTTGTTACCTTGGTAACCTGACACTTGTATATATGGTTTTGATATACAACTTACCAAGTACAAGGTAAATATACAGAAAAGTTATAAATACTGTGTAGTGACTCAACTTTTCAGTTACAAAAGTTTTCGTGTGGTCGGGTGGTGCAGTGGTGACACACTCACCTTTCACCTAGCCATCCAGGGTTTGATTCCCTGAATGGACATGGAAAGATATAGGGTCACCAGCCTGACCATGTGGGTTTCCCCTGGGTGTTCAGGTTTCCTCCCACAGTAAAGACCTTCCGCATGATTCAATACCAGCTGACATCAGTTGGAAAACCTTGTTTCACAATAGTTGTAAAACATTATTTTAAAGGTGCAAATTGTTGCCTAAAATTTATAATGGTTATTTTTACTTTATTTTATGGTTTTTTTTTTTCTTTTTTTTTGGTTTGGATAAAATTCATTGATTTGATTTATAATAAAGTTTCTGCCTAAGATGAGTAACTACACAGTATGAAAATTGGGTTTGTAATATGTCTGTGGAACAAGAGTTTTGTGAGAAGTATGTCCTGTAATGGTCGGTCCAGTTTGTTTTGTAAGCATGTGTTTGCCCTTCAGAAGTTTTAACCTGGTGATAACATATCTGTCTTAACTTGTAGGTAATTTCTGTTTTCAGTTCCTGGTGATAGAATTACAGGTGTAGTTTGTTTGAAGACAAGTCATCAACACCAAATTCATGATTGACAAACCATAGATTTCAGTTGATGCTCTATTTCAGCAGTTATAACATCCTATCAGTAAAGTTATTTAATATGTCCTGTACAGAGGTTGTACAAAAGACACACAATTGAATAGCACCTTTGAATAACTTTGAGTTAGTTACAGTAGAGCCAAACTATAAATCAAACTGCATCATACAGCTGGACTCTTGGAGGCATCAGTGATGCTACTTCATGCAGTTGTTTCGTCCTTCTAGGACTCGTCAGTGATGCTACATCATACAGCTGTTTCGTCCTTCTGGGACTGGTCAGTGATGCTACATCATACAGCTGTTTTGTCCTTCTAGGACTCGTCATTAATGCTACATCATACAGTTGTTTCATCCTTCTAGGACTCATCAGTGATGCTACATCATACAGTTGCTAAGGGCCAAAATTTTTAAGCCTGTGAGGCAACTGAAGAAAATCAAAGTGTTGGAAAGAATAGTTGAATTGTAAACAGGGAGGTGCAGCAGCCCCATAATTTAAGAATTTTGTAATGTTTATATATCTGATAATATTAGAACAGCATCAAATACATCTAATCTGAACCGTTCCACAATTTGAATTAATTAAAACATGGCATGCAGGTTATGACAAACCTCGGGGACAAGAAGTCTGTCACCAGTGTCTACCACCTGCTTTCTCAAAGATGACATGAGGCTTAGTTGGTTAGAGTATTGATCAACATAGACTCAGGTGAACATCCGAGTTGTGTGGTCCAGCATTCCCTACAGCATACAATGGGCCTCCCATATGTTGTTCAGTGAGGTAGCCACTATCTTTTATAAGGAGACCCAGCCTCAAAATCACCATGACTGTTAAAGGCGCAACAAACCCAGCAAAGGAGCTATTCCTACGAAAACGAAGGGAAAACAACACATCCAACATAATTTTCCAACAGTTACAAAGCTGCCTATAGCACTTAACAGTTTTTGACAAACTACATCATTCAAATACATCTAATGAATTTTAGTAATAGGTGATTCTGAGAATTTTGAGAAATTTGAGAAAAAAGTCTGATCCTCCATGTAAATAAGATTTTACTCCTTTCAGAATGCCACTATTCGACTTCAGTATGGACTGTGCTCTGTTTTTCCTCTGATCAATATAACAGCTGTTATTTGAGTGGGTGATGAAATTTTTTCTTGGGTTATTATGTGTGGTATCACTCACTAGGTACATGTAATGAACAAATTATTTCTATTTTGAATATGTTGTTTCGCATTGAGAGCAGTTAAGATCATCAATGAGCTATCAAAGTTGCCTTATCACCATGGAAACCTGAAATATTAGAATTTTTTTTTGGGGGGGGGGATAATGGTGTCGATTTGGAAATGTCTACATACAATTAAAAAGCTTTAAAATGAAAGCTCAGCATATTTTTTATATATAATATAGTACATATAGATTTAAAAGTTAAGAAGAAGTTCCTGATGACAGGTATGAGACCATATTAAGGATTTCCAATTTAATATGAAACTAAAACCCCAAATCCCAATAATATTCCAGTATGCCTCCAATATATCATTATAGAATTTGCAGGTCATTTTTCTTTCAGATTTCATCCATTTTAACAGAACCATGTGTGGAGTCTTTTTTTCAGTATTCTAATTCATTGATTATATTTCAGTGTCAACGCTATGAAATATTTAACTGTGGGACTGAACATGAAGTTTTGGTTGGAATTGTATAATGTATAGAGTCTCATGGTGTAGTTCTTTTTCCTTGTAATCCCAGCAGATACTGCATGTCTGAATTATTTTATTTTATTTTAATTTATTAGTTTGATTCTGTTTGATTTAATTTATCCTTATTAGGTTATCTTGACCCTTAGATGACCTACAGCCGTCATGTTTCATCATACATTCATCAACCTCATTATACTCATCCCTTGTCATATGCTAACTGTCATCCGTAATATTTTCCTTTAAAATGCTACTTTTCCTGAATGCCTCTGTGGATTTCAACCAAATTAAGTCTGAATCATCATTAGGAGTGGTCAATCATATCTTAGATTTAGAAAGGTGATTAGACCTGAGGGGACTGGGGGGCAAGGCCTTAAATGGTTGAATTTTGCTGAAATTTTGCATTCCAATACTAGTGCAGTCAAACCTCGTTATATTGAACTTGGCGAGAACATGGAAAAGTTTTTGTGATAACCGAGTATGTTATTGAAGTGAGATGGGATGAGTTATGTTATGTTAGGCAGGGGCTGATAAAATGTCTTCAGGTTATACGAATTGAAGATAACTAAATTCAACTGTATTCCTAGATGCCCAAATGGGTTTCAAGCAAATTTTCTATCCAAATGAGATGGGATTCTTTGTGTTAAGTTATGCAGGGACCAATGATAGAAATGCTTTCAATTAAAACGGGGTTTTCAAATTATAGGAGTTCAAGTTAACTGCATTCCTAGACACCCAATTTGATTTCAAGCATAATTCTTTTGAAATGGCGATAATTTCAGAAATTGATTATGATTTCGTTGTTAGATGACCAGAAGACCCGCAGGCCCCTTGTTTGTTATTTACGTGATCATTTACTGATTTCATTTCTTATTTGTGATTTGTTTTCTTCCTTAATTTTATACGATTTGTTTGATCTCTAGTCGTTGATTAATTTTCTCCCAAATTAATGATTTATTTTATCTGTGATTGATTTGTTCCAATTTTGAGTTTTCGTAATCTGAATATGTAATTTATTATTGAATATCGTTAATTTATGTTTCCCATAATTTTGTTTACTTAACATTTTATGCTAAAAATAAACATGTATACTAATAATAGATATTTTCTATTTTAGACGGCATCCTCGTCTTTATTTGGGATTGGGTCTCAGCAGACAAAATGCGTAAAATCAGCACCAACTCCTCCTTGTCCAGTGACTAATCTAACAAATCTATTAAAATTGGTTCGGCTTGTGTGGGTGGATGCTAGAACAGTGATTATGTTGACTGTGGATGGAAGTGAGCAAAGATACAGTATCTAAAGATAAGTCAGGACAGAATTTCAAAATGGGATTTTACATCTTATACTGGTCAAATCTAGGTCAGTGTAAAATGGAACCTTTGGACAATGTTATGATGTTGTCCTTCAATATCAAGAAGACAGGAACCACTTTTACGGTTGTGAGACTGAAGGGCTTTCATTACTGGTAGTGAAGTGTGAAAAATGTTGTTGGGAATGAAGGGCTTCCATTACCGGTAATGTTGTTGGGAATGAAGAGCTACCATTACCGGTAATGTTGTTGGGAATGAAGAGCTTCCATTACCGGTAATGTTGTTGGGAATGAAGAGCTACCATTACCGGTAATGTTGTTGGGAATGAAGAGCTACCATTACCGGTAATGTTGTTGGGAATGAAGAGCTACCATTACCGGTAATGTTGTTGGGAATGAAGAGCTTCCATTACCGGTAATGTTGTTGGGAATGAAGAGCTACCATTACCGGTAATGTTGTTGGGAATGAAGAGCTACCATTACCGGTAATGTTGTTGGGAATGAAGAGCTTCCATTACCGGTAATGTTGTTGGGAATGAAGAGCTTCCATTACCGGTAATGTTGTTGGGAATGAAGAGCTACCATTACCGGTAATGTTGTTGGGAATGAAGAGCTACCATTACCGGTAATGTTGTTGGGAATGAAGAGCTACCATTACCGGTAATGTTGTTGGAAATGAAGAGCTACCATTACCGGTAATGTTGTTGGGAATGAAGGGCTTCCATTACCGGTAATGTTGTTGGGAATGAAGAGCTACCATTACCGGTAATGTTGTTGGGAATGAAGAGCTACCATTACCGGTAATGTTTTGGAACTATCATTACAGATAAATGTGTCGAGGCTGAAGGACTACCGTTACAGATATAAGTGTCGAGGCTGAAGGACTACTGTTACTGATATTAATAGGTCAGGAGGGCATTATGGGTATGAAGTACGATGTAAAAATTTTGATCCAGAATTTATGTAAATTCTGATTCAAATAGAAAAGATCTATTTTGTGATTCCTTGTAAAAGGGTCTATTCCATAGTGATATATATGTCTGTTGTAAATATATAGCAATCTAAATGTATTGCTTTGTTAGATATATTTGAGCTATTTAATGGCTATTTCTGTGATCCGAACATTCTCTTTGTGGATGAGAGTGTGTGCTTGTTTGTTACATTTTGACATATTATTTATTGTAAAAAAGAAATTGTTATCAACTCAACCTCATCCTTGATGAAAACTAGTATTAGTGATCAATTTTTCTTTCATCAAAATAAATGGACTACTTTTTCAAAAATTTGGACAGATTTCAAACTTTCTTAAAGAATCAGACATGGGCAAGGTCCTTTGGCCTTGTTTTTAATTATATGCTTAAACTTTACCACAGGTTGACTTTTGATATCCAAATGTATTGTTAATGTATCATGTGAAAATGATGTTTATTTTCAAATTTGTTGTTTAAACTTTGTTTACTAGAAAGTATAATTATTATTTCAGTGGCATTACACCTTTATGTCTGTGATTTTTTCGGAGTTATCTCCCTTAAAATTGTTGATAAGATTTAAGTTATCTACATAAGATAAAGTATTGGGGAAAAAAGCCTTAACACTGGTATTTGTCAAGAAAGTAACACATGTAATAGATATTTTTAAAAAAAGGTCACACATATGGTTTGACCTTTCACCCTTGTTTTAGCGGGTCATGACCTGATGTTTCACTCTTCAGAGGTCAGCAGTACTGGTATTCTGGTGTGTTTTATCATCTTTTAATCCAATACAACAATTGTCTAGTCTCTTTTGGTAAATATAAATAAACCAAACTATTAGGGAATGACACACTACACTAGTAACAGATATCTGACTGCACACATGGTGTATAGAATGGTCTTGTTTGATTAGTCAGAAATGACCGACATTGATGTCCAAGGAAGAAATCTTTGAGACAGTGTTAATAGACAAGTGGACTTTATACACATTTTAGATAAGTGGTTTGGACATAAGATATGGTCTGTTTAGGGAGATGGTCTAATAGAAACCAGACACAAAGCCAGGCAGTTTTGATGTGTACACAAACTAGAATGAGCAGGGATGCAGTGAGCTGGAGCTCCCTGCTCTCCATTTAGGAGTAAAGAATTAATAGAAGGTTGGAATACAATGCACCCACCCAATAGCTAAGGAGAACTAAATACACTTTGGCAATAATTAGACAAATAATTTGCTCTTGATTTGTAAACAGCTGCACTTTTGTATAAGTGTACTTGATTGACAAGTATTGTGAATCACTTCTTTTGAGAGGGATTAAATGAAAAGAAATATGATCTCATCAAGTGTGTATACAGTTTCGACGTCCTAGTTACTGTCCCTAAAGATGACCTCATCGGGTGTGTATACTACAAACACCCCAGTCAGATACCCTACTCACTGATATTCATCAGGTGTATATTATAAACGTACTTACAATGGTTATTTAGCACCATCAAATTTTAGCAACATCAAATTTCAGCAACATCAAATTTCAGCACAGTCAAATTTTAGCACTGTCAAATTTCAGCACCATCAAATATTAGAACCATCAAATCTTAGCACCATCAAATTTCAGCACATTATTGTTTCTGACAAATATCGCAGACAAAACACTATGATCATAATAAAACAGTCACATTTTTGCACAACATTTTCCGTGGAAAATGCACTAGAATAGGGTTCACATGAAAATATGTACATTTACAATGTTTGTTTTCTGTACATTTCACTTTACCTAGCTATACATCCACATGAAATCCAGCTTAATGTACGCCAGTGTTTCTTTTGTGTGATAGCAGAAGACCAACAATAAATGCTAACTGACAAAATATGTTTAATGTTGATATTTATAGTCATCTTGATTTTTAATAGTTTACTGAAAGTATTACCATTTAAACTCAATTTTACATCTTATCACATTCTTTTTATCTTGCCATTTAAGAGACGCATCAAAACTTAAAAGTTTTTAGAGTAAGTAATAAGAAGTACTATGAGTTCATATATAACATTCCACACCACTTAAACTTGTATATACATTCTTTAGAGGTCAAATATCGCTGTAATTTCAATTTAGTCATATTTTTTCAAAATTCATCAGGGTTTTGAGGTAAGTTTTTGAAAGGCTTCTAGCTCCATTCATATACTTCCACAGTCCTCCTATTTCATATGAACAATAACAAACAATGGCTGCTGCCACTGAGACTGTAGCAATCATTGATTGATTTTGTTGAAATAGACATCTGTCTTTCATTGTAGATATCACATAATGAAACTGATTTTTCATTAGATAACTGTTTTGTCATTTATCTCAGTAGGTATACATTGTATAAGATATTTAATTTGTTCATTGAGAGTAGATAATTTGTCTTCAAATTTGTTTTACATTTCTTAGAATTTCACACATTTCCATAAAAACTAAAGAAAAATTGGGTTTGATGTATGCTTTGTCTTTCATAACATTTGAAGAAATTTTCACTCAATTTTTTAAAGGTAGTTATTAAACATTTTGAAAGGTAAATGAAAAATCTCAAATGAAACCAAATACCTATACCGTATATATGATGAGCCATTTTATATTCTGTAAATATTCAGTGAATGTTTGCCATACATGATAGTAGTGGATTGGGAATCTTAAAAACATGTCATTTGGCTAACATCTGATGTGTAAAGATTGGTTTTCGGTTGGTTTCATATCCGGGATAAATTTGAAAAGAGCTATTCGTGTTTGATAATAGTGAAACAGCAAAATTGATTTTCACTGGTTAAATATTGGCTTGAATGTATTAAGTGGTGGGTGATTTCACTTCCTGTTTCAGTCAATATTAATGGATTCAAGCAGTGTGCAATATCATGTACATATATATATATAGATAGTTTGTATCGAGTCTAGTCTACAATATACTATTTACTTGTATTAAACACATGTATATCATAGCAAATAAGTATTTGCTTCAATAAATATTTTTAAAAAATAATACAGAACATGATGTTTTTGTTTATTATTTCATAAGAATTGCCTTATTAGTCTTCCAGAGGGGACCAGAGATGTGTGCTCTGTCCATCTGTCTATCTCTTTGTCACCAGTCCTCCAGAGGGGACCAGAGATGTGTGCTCTGTCCATCTGTCTATCTCTTTGTCACCAGTCCTCCAGAGGGGACCAGAGATGTGTTCTCTGTCCATCTTTCTATAACTTTGTCACCAGTCCTCCAGAGGGGGCAAGAGATGTGTTCTCTGTCCATCTTTCTATAACTTTGTCACCAGTCCTCCAGAGGGGGCAAGAGATGTGTTCTCTGTCCATCTTTCTATAACTTTGTCACCAGTCCTCCAGAGGGGGCAAGAGATGTGTGTTCTCTGTCCATCTGTTCTATAACTTTGTCACCAGTCCTCCAGAGGGGGCAAGAGATGTGTTCTCTGTCCATCTTTCTATAACTTTGTCACCAGTCCTCCAGAGGGGGCAAGAGATGTGTGCTCCATCTGTCTATCTCTTTATCACTAGTCCTCCAGTGGGGACTACAGATGTTTGTTCTGTCTATCTGTCTATCTCTTTGTCACCAGTCCTCCAGAGAGGGCAAGAGATGCGTACTCTGTCCATCCGTTTATCACTTTATGGTGTGATGTTTCTAGAACGGCATAGTGACCTTGTAATATTTACCTTCGATCCCTACCTCAATAATCTGCGTAGAGCACCTCTTGTCATTCACCACTGATTAACATTTTCACATTTTTAGCCTACCATCAAATTCTCCGTCGGTCCGTCCGACCATTAACAATTTTTGTTATCGCTATTTCTTGAGAAGGACAGGATGCATCTTTCTCAAATTTCATATGTAGGTCCCCCTTAGTCATTAGTTATCGCCATTCAACTTTGGGACTAATCAGAAAACAAAATGGCCGAAAGGTGGCCATCTTGGATTTTGACTTTGCAAGTTTGTTATCGCTATTTCTTAAAAAGTTTCATTTACTCCTCTGTTTTTGCTCTTTATTATATTTCATATAGTCGCCTGTCTGCCATTTTGCTTCTCTGAACAGTCTCAAAATCAAAACAACACAACCATGGACCAAATGCAACTTTAAAATGAGAAACGAGAAAATATCCATCTTCCATTATGAACCTCCAAGACGGCCGCCTGTCGGCCATTTTATTTTTCTACTCAGTCTCAAAATTAAAAGGCACTTAAAAAAGCACAAACAAAATTTAAGGATGGGGAGCGGACGCAGAGCCCTTCATCATCAAGGTGGGCTAAAATAAATATTCGTCGGCAGTTAAAAATTATTATTTAACGGATGTTACGTCCACTAGCACGACACCATGGTAAGGGTATTGTGTCCCATACCTGAAGCCGCAGTGCCCCATCAACAGCCATGGTTATCGCTATATTAAACATACTGAAACGAAGGGAGGTACCTCTGCACGAATGCTATAGCCGTATAAGTTCCTCTTTTTTTTCTAGAGACACTAAGCTAACGACGTTTTTTTTAAAGAAGAAGCTAAGCTAACAGAGCTTTTACTGAAGAAGCTAAGCTAACAGAGCTTTTTCTGAAGAAGCTAAGCTAACAGAGCTTTTTCTGAAGAAGCTAAGCTAACGACGTTTTTAAAGAAGAAGTTAAGCTAACAGAGCTTTTTTCTGAAGAAGCTAAGCTAACGACGTTTTTAAAGAAGAAGCTAAGCTAACAGAGCTTTTTTTCTGAAGAAGCTAAGCTAACGACGATTTTAAAGAAGAAGCTAAGCTAACAGAGCTTTTTTCTGAAGAAGCTAAGCTAACAGACCTTTTTCTGAAGAAGCTAATGACGTTTTGTTCAGAAAGTAGCTGAGCTAATGAGTTGTTTTCTAAAGAAGCTTAGCTAATAACGTTTTGTTAAAGAAAGGGGTGAGCTGACGGAGCTTTTTCGAAATAAGCCAAGCCAACGGCTTTTTCCCAAAGAAGCCAAACCAACGATGTTTTTTTTCAAATAAGCTTAACTAGCAGAGCTTGAGGTTCAACTCAAGTAGTACATGGGAATACAAGACATTATTTACAAGCGTTATCTTCTTTTTTGATGTGACATTTTGGAAGTAAATACACTGATTTGCAAGCTGTATATACACAACAAAGATAAAATCGAGATACAAAATTCACGACAGCCTCGTTTTCTGTTATGCATGGTCCACTGGTTTTGAAGGGGTCGTCTCGAAATGAAATATCCATCTAAAACATATTTTTCATGATTTGATTGACTTTGACTAATTAGCTCAAGTTCCAAACCATGTCTAGGCGCAATGAGGTAGTGAGTGGTGACTTATTCAATTGTACCTGTAAAAAATTGATATAATTTTGCTGTGTATTACTCAGTGTACACAATGTATTAGTGATAAGTTAATATAACGAACATAATTTGCGCAACAAAATACACGTGATGAGCGCTTGATATCATACATCTGTATCCTTTCGCATTGGTACCGTAATTTTCGTCACGTGTGTTGCCGCATACAAATTGTTAGGTCTCACTGACATTACTTGAAAACAAAACTGGGTTATAAATCTTTTGAAACGTTCTTCTCTGTCTATACAACTTGTACACGTCAAGGTAAGTGCTTGAACGCTATCTTATAGCTAGTCACTAGGTACTTCTTAACAGTATCCTTTGTAACGGCTTTCAGAGCAACAACACAAAAATGGCTGACAGTGAGCGAAAGGTCATTATTGGCGTAGACGTGGGAGGTACGAACACTGATGCTGTGCTTGTCCAGGTCAACACCGTCCCGCCGAAAGTTGTGTCGTCTGCCAAATGTATAACTACAAGCGATATTACCACAGGAATAAAACGCGCCGTGGCAACATCTATCCTGAACGCTCACCCTTCCAGTAGCAACCCTCTTGACATTATTCAATTGAATATAGGGACCACGCATTTTGTCAATGCTATAGTACAAAGGAAAAATCTCGCAAGAGTTGCAGTCATCCGACTTTGTGGACCGGCATCGAAGTCTGTTCCTCCATTTAGTGACTTCAACGACAATCTGAGGGACTGTGTAAATGGTGGAGTTTTCATGGTAAATGGTGGGTATGAGTTTGACGGGAAAGTGATAACTGAAGTTTTAAAATCAGAGATTGAAGAAAACGTTGCATTGTGTGTGAGAAACAGAATCAACAACTTCGTCGTTTGTGGAGTGTTCTCACCGATAAAAACAGATCAAGAAGAGACAGCGAAACAGATAATTCTCGATGTGTGTCCTAATGCTAGTATTACACTCTCAAGTGAAATCGGGCAGATCGGTTTGTTGGAAAGAGAAAATGCATCCATTCTGAATGAATGTCTGAAGCCTTTGAGTGCGAACACAATAGAGGGTTTCCGAATGGCAATATCTGACCTTGGTCTGAACTGTCCATTTTTTCTTACACAAAATGACGGCACAGTTGTCAGCGAGAAGGATGCTCTACGCCAGCCCGTCCGAACTTTTGCGTCCGGACCCACAAACAGCATGAGAGGAGCAGCATTTCTGTCTAGAGTGAAGAATGGCATTGTTGTTGATATCGGTGGTACCACGACAGATATCGGCATACTGCGGAAGGGATTCCCTCGAGAAGCATCCTCGGAAGTAATGGTGGGCGGAATCCGGACCAACTTCCGGATGCCAGACATTAAAAGTATAGGTCTCGGAGGTGGCTCCTACGTTTCTGTCGACCCAGTAAGGGTCGGTCCGAGGAGCGCTGGATATAATTTGAAAAATGAGGCAATTGTGTTCGGAACGAAATCCGACATGAAGGATAGGCGACTAACGGCTACAGACGTGGCTGTTGCAGCCAAACTCTGCCATATCGGATCACCGGGAAACGTGTCTCACATTCATCCGATCCCGATTATCGATAAAATACGTGAGATGGTGGAAGAAGTGATCAATCAGATGAAAGTATCGGGTGACGATATGCCCGTGATATTGGTCGGAGGTGGAACGATATTGCTAGGTCACAAAAAAGGCCTTCATGGTGCAAGTGAAGTTTTCAAACCGGATTATCACAATGTGGCAAATGCTGTGGGTGCAGCCCTTAGCCAAGTGTCTGGGTCTGTCGATAAGGTATACTCTATGTCGAACTTTCTAGACCAGGAGGAACTCTCTCATGCCATTCAAACCAAAAGAAATGAATTGGGCATTAGCGCATCAAAAGACGAAATTGAAAATGCAGAAAAAGAAATCAGGAGGTCGTTTTATGTAACCGCGAGGGAAAGGGCACTGGAAGAAGCTCAAGGCATCGCGGTTGATTTGGCGGTTGACGCGGGTGCAAGTCGAGCGGATGTCGAGCTTGCTGAGAAAAATGACACCCCGTTATCATATCTCCCAGGCAATGCTACAAGAATACAGATAAAAGTCGTTGGCGATCTCAATACATTTTTCACATCTGAAAATAAAATATGCGACTTTGCTATACCTACTTCAATCGAAAAGGAAGACGTTCATCTGCAAGAGAAACAGACTTCGACTGCAACTGGAGAAATGATTGACAGTGGGGACACCACAGAGATAGAGCGTGATCCAGAAATCGATTCAGCTACCGGTGAATGGGTACTATCTACATGGGACGTGGAATGCATTGGACTGGGCGCTGGAATTCTTGGGTGTGGTGGAGGTGGTAGCCCCTACCTCGGAAGACTTTTGGCGAAAATGGCAATACAAGAGGGGAAGAGAATTCGTATCATCACGAAAGAAAAACTATTGGAAAGATGTCGATCCGGCATTGTTGTTCCTGTCGCTGCAATGGGCGCTCCGCTGATAACGACTGAGAAGCTGGCATGTGGGGAAGTTGCAAAGTCACTTTCGTGCCTTCAACAACTGTATAAAGATGGTTATCGCAATGGTGAAATGTCTTCTGAATTCAACCAAGCAATTGAGTCTGAAAGTGGCATAACATTCATACAAAACTATGAACCAATCAACACATCTACAGGCTCAAAAGCGGATCTCGGCGACCAGGAAATAGTAGCCTTAACATCGGCTGAGGTCGGAGGACTTAACTGTATAGAGCCGTTACTGGTATCTGCAGAACTAGGAATCCCAGTTTTGGATGCTGATGGTATGGGACGGGCATTCCCGGAACTTCAAATGGACTGTTCTTTGATATATGGTGTGAAGCCTTATCCAGCAACACTTGCTGACGACAAAGGACGAAAAGATGTGGTTTTGAAAGTTGATGATGCTAAAACACTGGAAGATCACTTTCGTAGAATTGTAGTAGAAATGGGCTGTAGTGCTGGTGTTACTTTATCCAGCATTCGCGTAGAGGATGAACTCGATACCCTGATCCACTACTCGATAAGTTACGCCTGGAGATTAGGCCGGGCCGTCCTACGGAGTCGTCGCGATAATACATCGCCGACTGAAGCGATACGAAACGTAACCAGTGGCTTTCTGACCATCGTCGGCAAAATCAGTGACGTCTGTAGAGAGACCACTGGTGGCTTTAATAAAGGGATGTTGAAGATAGATGGTACCGACAATTTCTCTGACAAGAAAGGTCTCATCGAGTTTCAGAATGAAAACCTTATTGCGAGGATCGGTACTAAATCAAGTCAAACGGACGATACCACGGTCGTATCATGTGTACCAGATCTTATCACTGTTGTGGACAGTGATACAGGCGAACCTATTCCAACAGAGAACGTGCGCTACGGCCAACGAGTTACCGTTCTTACTATTCCATCACATCAAATGCTCAGGACGCCGCGCGCTTTAGCCTTCATAGGTCCTCGTGCTTTCGGTTACAAAGAAATAGAGTTCAGTCCCTGTGGACCTTGTCCGGAAATTGAACCCGTTGGTCCGAGATAAAGTTATTATCGTGATATCAAGCCGTTTTTACTAAGACATCGCAATGATGATGAGTGTGCTATCAAATATTACTTGTGTAATAGGTAGCTTGCTTCAAGATGTAACAACCTTTTTATATTCATTATACCATGCGATATGTTATACTCATACAGATAGTGTGTTGTGTGATATGTTAATACAGATAGTATGTTGTGTGATATGTTCATACAGATAGTATGTTGTGTGATATGTACATACAGATAGTATGTTGTGTGATATGTTCATACAGATAGTATGTTGTGTGATATGTTCATACAGATAGTATGTTGTGTGATGTGTTCATACAGATAGTATGTTGTGTGATATGTTCATACAGATAGTATGTTGTGTGATATGTTCATACAGATAGTATGTTGTGTGATATGTTCATACATGTTGTGTGATATGTACACACAGATAGTATGTTATGTGATGTTCATACAGATAGTATGTTGTGTGATGTGTTCATACAAATAGTATGTTGTGTGAAATGTTCATACAGATAGTATGTTGTGTGATATGTTCATACAGATAGTATGCTGTGTGATATGTTCATACAGAAAGTATGTTGTGTGATATGTTAATACAGATAGTATGTCGTGTGATATAGATAGTATGTTGTGTGATATGTACATACAGATAGTATGTTGTGTGATATGTTCATACAGATAGTATGTTGTGTGATATGTTCATACAGATAGTATGTTGTGTGATATGTTCATACAGATAGTATGTTGTGTGATGTTCATACAGATAGTATGTTGTGTGATGTGTTCATACAAATAGTATGTTGTGTGAAATGTTCATACAGATAGTATGTTGTGTGATATGTTAATACAGATAGTATGTTGTGTGATATGTTCATACAGATAGTATGTTGTGTGATATGTTCATACAGATAGTATGTTGTGTGATATTTTCATACAGATAGTATGTTGTGTGATGTTCATACAGATAGTATGTTGTGTGATATGTACATACAGATAGTATGTTGTGTGATATGTTTATACAGATAGTATGTTGTGTGATATGTACATACAGATAGTATGATGTGTGATATGTTCATACAGATAGTATGTTGTGTGATATGTTCATACAGATAGTATGTTGTGTGATATGTTCATACAGATAGTATGTTGTGTGATATGTTCATACAGATAGTATGTTGTGTGATATGTTCATACAGATAGTATGTTGTGTGATATGTTCATACAGATAGTATGTTGTGTGATATGTACATACAGATAGTATGTTGTGTGATATGTTCATACAGATAGTATGTTGTGTGATATGTACATACAGATAGTATGTTGTGTGATATGTTCATACAGATAGTATGTTGTGTGATATGTTCATACAGATAGTATGTTGTGTGATATGTTCATACAGATAGTATGTTGTGTGATGTTCATGCAGATATTATGCTGTGTGATATGTACATACAGATAGTATGTTGTGTGATATGTTCATACAGATAGTATGTTGTGTGATATGTTCATACAGATAGTATGTTGTGTGATATGTTCAAACAGATAGTGTGTTGTGTGATATGTTCAAACAGAAAGTATGTTGTGTGTTATGCTCATACAGATAGTATGTTGTGTGATATGTACATACAGATAGTATGTTGTGTGTTATGCTCATACAGATAGTATGTTGTGTGATATGTACATACAGATAGTATGTTGTGTGATATGTACATACAAATATTATGTTTTGTGATATGTTCATACAGATAGTATGTTGTGTGATATGTACATACAAATATTATGTTTTGTGATATGTTCATACAGATAGTATGTTGTGTGATATGTACATACAAATATTATGTTTTGTGATATGTACATACAGATAGTATGTTGTGTGATGTTCATACAGATAGTATGTTGTGTGATATGTTCATGCAGATATTATGCTGTGTGATATGTACATACAGATAGTATGTTGTGTGATATGTACATACAGATAGTATGTTGTGTGATATGTACATACAGATAGTATGTTGTGTGATATGTTCATACAGATAGTATGTTGTGTGATATGTACATACAAATATTATGTTTTGTGATATGTTCATACAGATAGTATGTTGTGTGATGTTCATACAGATAGTATGTTGTGTGATGTTCATACAGATAGTATGTTGTGTGATATGTTCATATAGATAGTATGTTGTGTGATATGTTAATACAGATAGTATATTGTGTAATACACATAGAATATATATTGAATTTGCTTATTTTATGATATGTTATTTTAGTTTTTATATTTTGTCAATTTGTACCGAAATTTGAATAAATGATAGCATATATTGTTGTCTATTTTGAGATTTATTCGTTACATTATGTATGATGTTTGCGTTTATGTTAATTCCATCACTTCTATTTTACAGAAGCCCAATGTTTCGCTCGATCTTTCATAAACCTATTTGATGGTTTTTGAAGAAGGAATTCGTCAGAAATTGTTTGAAAACAAAACGCTGAAGTTTTGGGTTAAAATCTCACCAAGCTGTAGGAAAGTACATCTATTCCTTCGGTCATGTGTTCATATTATTGAGTTGAAACAAATTATTGTACAGGAGACAGAAGTATATAGCGCCATTCAATGCAAATTTATAGGATGCATCACTGATGCAACATTATACGGCTGTTTCGTCCTTCTAGGACTATTCAGTGATACTACATCATACAGCTGTTTCGTCCTTATAGGATGCATCACTGATGCAACATTATACGGCTGTTTCGTCCTTCTAGGACTCTTCAGTGATACTATATCATACAGCTGTTTCATCCTTCTATGACTTGTCAGTGATACTACATCATACAGCTGTTTCGTCCTTATAGGATGCATCACTGATGCAACATTATACGGCTGTTTCGTCCTTCTAGGACTAGTCAGTGATACTACATCACACAGCTGTTTCGTCCTTCTAGGACTCGTCAGTGATACTACATCATATAGCTGTTTCGTCCTTCTAGGACTCGTCAGTGATACTGCATCATACAGCTGTTTCGTCCTTCTAGGACTCGTCAGTGATACTACATCATACAGCTGTTTCGTCCTTCTAGGACTCGTCAGTAATACTACATCATACAGCTGTTTCGTCCTTCTAGGAATCGTCAGTGATGCTAAAAGCCTAAAATGTTGAAACTGAGGAGGCGAGCGGGAAATGATAAATGAATGTCTAAAAGCAAATATAGCACTGCATTAACCCGAAAATTCAATGAAATTCATATATCATTTCAACATTGGATCTGTATTAAATAATGCCTTCATTTACACTCTGAACCGTGTCACTATTGGAATGAATTAAAACGAGCCATGTAGGTTAAGGACAACATAGTGACTAAAATTCCACCTTTAGGACTGCACAAAAACCATCCGTCATTTATTTCATATTGTTACAACCAGAATTTCGACTTCGATCTTTTTCTGGTTATTGAATCAGTTTGAGTTATTTGGGGCTCTGATGCGTTGAATGTGAAAATTCGTAATCGCTCCACGGTATCTTCAACAGTAGGCAGTTGCAGCATAATGTTAGTTTCATGTCATCTTGTCGTGTTTAAATGTTTTATTGTAGCATTTGTCTTGGCCTAAATAGTCATAGATTCTCCAACAGATTATGCAAGATTGGTTATTAATATGCATATCGAATGATTTGCTTAATCTCATGGTGCGACGTCCGTCATCTGTTCGTCTTCCGTCATCTGTCCGTCGTCCAGCATCTGTAAACATTTTACTAAAAATTGAAACTTAACATGAAGACTGAACGGACCAAATTTGATCAGAATCGTCCAATTGAGAAGGGAAACCAAGTATATATATAAATGGTGGTTCTCGGCCCCTTGGGAAATGAGGCGCGTGGCCCTAAAAGGGAAATTTGGTCAGTTATTTTAAATCCTTCTTCTGTAGGAATGATTGGATTTGATCCAAATTTGGTCAGAAGTATCCTTGGATGAAATCAATTTTTGTAAATATGGTGGGTCTCGGCCCTATGGGGCAGGAGGGGTGGACCCAATAGAGCAAATATAGCAAAGTATTTCAAATCCTTTTTGTAAAGAAATGCCAGGATTTTCGCCCAGTTTTTTATGAAGCATTTTTCAGTAAAGAAATATCAGTCCTGTATAAACTCATATTGTTGACCCCCAAGAGATGGATAGGATGTCTCTCTAGGGCAAAAGGGACAGGACCCAATACCGAAAAAAGATCCAATTCTTCAACATCCTATTCCTTCTGTAGAAATGATTAGATTCTATTCCACTTTGGTGTAAAACATACTGGATTGAACGGCAATCAGTATTGTTTATACAATGTGTGGATTTCGTTAAAGTTAATGATACAGACCATATGGACCTCTTGCGCATTACAAATGCATTCATTTCCCGTATCTGTTTGCGGGTTACAATACCATTCGTGATAACGAGCGAATAAAATTGTCCCTTTCAGTTAAGACTGCTATACGACTATAATATAGCAGATTTTGTCTTGTCCACGATTATCTTTTATAAACATTTCTATAAGTAAGCATTTCCTCTAGTGCGTCATCTTGTCTGAAAACAACATCAAGAAAAATACAGCTTAGAACATCAACATTTACTTTAATCAATAAATGTAAGTTAGTATATGGCATATCCTCAATTTAACAAAATGAAAGTAAAAAAATGTAAAGTTTTTTTTAGTATATATAAGTATATATGTCGATGATAAATCATGATTAATGGTCTTATGTCCATGTTTTTCATTTAAGTCCGTGTACTCTTCTGACAATACCTGCTTCCATAGGTTCAAGCATCTCTAGTACTGCTTTTGTTGTGTACACATATTGTTGTGACGTCATGAATCTCTGTGCTCTTTGGATAGTCTTTATCCATCGTCTAAACGTCACACATATAATCTACATGTATGCTTTTTACAGCGTAAACTCCATTTGGGAGCGAAGGTACACAAAAATGCGTTGAATACGATAACTGAACAGCAAATAAAAAAAAACTCACAGACATCAATAAATTGTTATACAAAGCCGATTCTAAAATGCAGATTTCCTTGATATATTGTCGAGTCCATTTCGCTTATGAAAATTATACAGATAATGTATTGTATTTACAAGTACCATATTGTTCCATTTGTCTGTTAAATCAACATAAAAATGTATCATATGAATGCGCCTATCCGGATAAATCTGATTACGCCGGATTAAAGAGTGTAAATCCATTTATCCGGAACATCCATACCACCTAATGGATGACTGTCAGACGATAAGATACTGAATAATTTCCTTTCATTGTTGATTACTATCTCACGTTCAGTATCGCTTTGAATTCTGTGGAATAAACAAAAGGAGAGAGAAAATAAGAAGGACATGAGATGGAATTTCATACTAGCGTAAATGTTTCAAATATGGCCACACATCAAAATACTTCTTCATGAAAATCATTGAAAAATAGTAATACCGACATATTAAAATTCAGAATTGATGAAACCAGGGTAAATTACAGACAAGGAAGAATTTACTCGGATAAAAATGAGTACAAGAATACGACTAGGTGTTCTAAAAGGGTAAGCGTCTTCTGCTTCATCGAAGTCATCTAGCGTGTGTTAAAACTGTGTCATGTTCTCAAAATGATAATCAGATTAATGATATCAAAACCACCAGTCATATTAACGAGCGTGTCCTTCTTTATTGACCTGCTTGTCCTCAGATCGCGTGTTGTTTGTTATTCTATCACCTGTCAATATCTATTGATAAGGAAACATCTGTCATGGAAATAATGATATTGAAAACAAGCCTTAGAATACCGAATCAATAACCACATTGAACGCAACATGTTAAGGAAGCATGTTTGGTACTGTCCAGAAAAGGAACAGTTACGATTGAAAAAATATTTTTAAGTCTGTTTGACCTTTTCGACATTTATCCTTGTAGTAACATTTAAGAGTATGACAACATTAATGAAATAAGACACTGCTTATCGTAAGAAACTTTGATATACTGAATATTTACCTCTATAATCAACCTTGCCATCCATGTCAATATCTGCTTCCTTTATCATAGCATCGGCTTCATCCTGTCGAGAAAGAAAACAAAAAAATATATCTTTTAATGATCTTCAACTACCAAAAAATTGAAAGTTCTAGCCATATATCCGTCATAAAAATGAAAAAAAAATGTCTGGATTAAAAAGGAAAACAGTGCTCTAAACTTATAAATGATAACCCAGAAAGCACTTCATATAAAAAGATGTCATTAAAACTCAATACATAAGTCGAACCTCACTATCTCGAACTCCTATAAATCGAAGACCCCGTTAAATGCGAAGCATTTCACCGGTCCCTGCATAACTTTACATAAAACATTCGAACTCACTTAAATAGAGCACTCGGTTTCCTCGAATTTCTCCACGGTCCCTTCGAGTTCGTGATAAAGAAGTTCGACTGTACATTGGTTTGTGTTCTGCTGGACTTAATTGCCTTATTTTTGTGACAGTATCATACACCTTTATCATTCGAATCAAACTATACCTTATTCAGAATTCGTGATAAAAAATGCTATGTTCTTGTGGGTCTCTGGCACAATCTTAAGCTACGTACCCGAGTGATGTTCTCGCCTAACTTTTGCAGTACTGTGTAAAGCTCATCCGGACATATGCCTCCGTCCTTGTCATTATCAAACACCTGGAACACCTCATGTAATTCCTTTTCTGGGTCAATCGACAGTTTCCGAGTAAAAATCTCCAGGAACTCCTCAAAATCTATACTTCCGCTTCCTGAAAAACACCAAGCTCTCAATAGGAAAATGAAATTTAACTATTAAAAAAAACTACACTTGTATTCCTTGTTATTCATATTTAATCGTTATACTTCAAGATTTGAATTGAAAATAGTAAATAGTTTTTTTTATCAAATACACTGCGTCAAACATTCCTGCAGATGTTCTTGGTCTATATCAAGATGCTAAATGTTTGCGGTAATGTTCCACCGACAAAATCAAGATGTAAACAAACTCGTTATCTCGAACTCATCTTGACCTTGGAGCTAACCGAGTATTCGATTTAAATGAGTCCAAATATTTTGTGTAAAGTTAGACAGGGACCAACGAAATACTTCGAATTAAACGGGGTCATCGAGATTTGTTTTCGAGTTTGAGATAACGAGGTGCAACTGCATTTAGAATTTAAATCTTAACATGAAAAATGCGTGATATAAAGTTACCTCGTGACAACCTAAGTATCAAACAATCGTTGTAAGACCTAGCAAAAATCGGCCTGATAAACGATAAGTATGTCATTTATTTGGGTCAGTCCAACCAATATCCTAAAATCGTGTCTGGTGATCTACCTGGTAATATGTTTACATTGTACATAAACACGTTGTAGAGACTATCCTTCTCATTAATGGAATCATAGTTTGCCCTAGGAGGTGGCGGTGCCTTAATGTTAGAGGTTACATATCCAAACGACTTACTATCGACGTCGACGGAGCGCATCAGACCGTTGAGGACGTTCGCAGATGGTCTTTGTCCCAGTTTAAACAAGACGGTTCCTAGTTCATCTGCCGTTATCAGACCGTCTCCGTTTTTGTCAAAAACACAAAACGTGTCGTGTAGTTCTGTAAAATATCAATAATTATCATTTCCTACATTGTCTCTTTCCTTTCATGTCAATTTGATGTTTGGTTTTGACTTTCTTAGATCGATGTTAAATTTTGCAGAATTTGAGATGCCAATGGCCTTTACGAAGGCGCCAATTCTGTTTATCGACGTGTCACTGACGCGTTTACCAACACACCAATGATGTTTACCGAAAATAAAACACATAAAATACATCAATAAATTTCAATGTATTCTGAAACACATAAACTAATATAGGCTTGAAGATCATATCAATTTTAGATTTCGCTTACCTCTCACTTTTTCTCTGTTGAAACCATATTTCCTTCCGGCCTTCTCAAACGACTTTGCGAACGGCACCTATTTAAAGCAAGACATTATATACAACCTTTAACTATATTTTAATTATCAAATCGTGATTAATGGTGAAGATGGCATTAGCGATCAAATTCTATACGTCCTATTGATGTTGTGCTCAGATTTATTTATATGAGCTTCTAAAAGTATTGGACCAACCCACTTTAGATAATGAATTATTATTCAATTATGCAAGCTTACAATATGGAGACTCGAAGTAGAACCATACAGTCTTGTTTGTTTTGGGTTTTTTTTTAACCGGGCTACATTCACTTGGGACTTGTTAGTGATACCAGCTCTCAGAATCATGTTTTAAATTTTCTAATCCATACGTAAAAAGAATTATTAAAAAACCCCAGAATATTATATACAAAACTCATTATCACAGAAATGAACAGCTTTTGGCATTCATTGATGTAATATGTGCCAATGTATTACAACTATAAAGTCTCTGGTAGCCTTGAGGACCCTTCACAAAGGAAGTTAACTGCCGAAATGTAGTGTAAAAGCATGGAATGCTTGAGCAAAAAGATACATGTATTACCCCGATAATTAATTTCTAAATCCGATCGACACGTGAAGGATATTATAGATGCAGTTTCATTCATTCTGTCTCCAATTTTGAATTTCTACGCGAAATCGCAAGTGAATGGCGCCTTCTATATAAATTTTGTAAAGCTAGACATTAACAAAAGCTGTTCACTTACACTTGTGTATTTTGTACAACCATTTATTCACGCATAAATTACAATGTACAAGCAAATGCTGACTCACGGGCTGACGTTTTGGGCGACTCATCGTTCTGTTCCAGGCCGGTACTTGGTACTACTGTAAACATCAAACGAAAATAAATCTTTGAAAGTGTTTTGAGTTGTTTATCTTATGTTCACATAAATATAGACATGTTTTGGTTTGCGTACTGCCAAAAGATAAAAAAAATATGCAATTTGACATCCTAGTAGCCGTATAGCAATTTTAATGAATATGTTTCCTACCTAAAATTATCATTATCATTATATATTGAATTGTAGCTCTTTAGTCTCAAACATTCCTCTCAAAAAATAGAGTTGATAAGTATAACGCAGACATTTTAATCCATTTTGACTTCGACTGAGTACCGTATAACCTAATCATTTTGACTCATCTTCACCAGGATTTCCCTAGTTCCTGCCATGGTAATGGGTCGTATTGCCTATCTGATGGCACCACGCCAAACCATCAACAGCCCTACCACTCCAGAACATACCGCCGTACAACCGCGGGTCGTTATAGGGTAAAGTTACGTTTCCTCCACAAATATCTGGGACTCTCTATGTTTATAATTATAGAGACCCGCAGTTTAAATTTACTTCGCCTAAAAATAGGAATTATATCAAATGCATTGTTTTTTGTTTGTTAGTTTTCTTGTTTGTTTGTTTTGTTTTTCTTTCGTTTGAGGATTATTACCATGAATCACAACACAAAGATATTGTAAGTCACAGAAAGTAAAAAAAGTGATATTAAAAAGCAAAATGTTTGACTTTTAGTACTACTCCGTATGTACTTGGAACGTTCACCAGCGTCACTCGATATATTGGAGTGTTTTTTCATCCTTAAAGTTTAATGAAGGTTTGTGAAAGAATTGCTGTATAGATTATCTGTAATGTAGCTTTCCTTAGACACATAATATTGCCACGATATCATCTCTAGACACAATCTGTCTATTGTTCGTCAAGACGGATCATTCCACCTTAAGAAATGCTTGTAACCGAGATCAAATTACTTACAATTCTCACAAATGCATATATATATAAGTTTTCCGGCCTTGTGGCCATCTTCAGGTGTTTTCAGGCCAGAAAACGTTAGATATTTCATACGATTTCATTTGCCATGTTTACATTTTGATTTTCTATATCTACCATACACAAAGCTTTTATCGTTTTTTGAATTAAATATATATATATATATATATATATATATCAACAGTTTGTAAATACGACTCAGAGAAATAACGTATATTCAAAAGTTTTACCTCATTTATCTATATTGTAAGTGATTAGAATATTAAGATATCCGATTTCCTGAGGAGTTAGATATTGTATAGCGTGTTCAATGTACAGAAACTCTATCATTTAAAATCTGCTACAGCAACCCTGCAAATATGTACTAAAAACAGATATACTTTCTTCATATATCAATTTTGTAGTAAACAGGATCAACTTACCTTTCTCTAGTCCATAACCGCACCACTTGTAACTAACAACAATTACTTTGTTCGCTTGGAATTCACAGCCACCTTCCTATGTTTCCTGATAATTCTGTGACGTAACCGATGACTCACAGCTAGCACTTTTTTCTTTTAAAGTGAAACGATGAAAAAATATCCAAAAGCTTGTTCTACGAAATGATGACCGAATCTCCAGTTGCCATGGCAATTGACCAGATGGATTTGCTAAACGAGGATTAGTACCGGCTACTAAAATAACTTGTTAAGACCCCTTGTAGGTTCCTGGTGTTGTGTATCATAACAGTGCATGCTATCTATTTATAGCGCCTGCGTGCACGTGTCTCTGATGTGATGCTGAAGTCTACGAGATTTATGTACAGTGGTAACGAGAACATGCAGACGTAGTCGATTGAACTCAGTGATAATGTTTGGTAGACCGTTGATATGTGCTATTCTCAGCGGACCGGATGTGATTTTTTTTTGTTGTTTTTTTTAGGGGAGGGGTGGGGGGAGGGCTGAATATAATTACCTATAGTCAGATGAATGAATCAGATAAAACTTTCATCCTTTTTCAAGGATTGCACATACAAGAATATCTGATCTCAGGGGAAAAGGGGGCATTAGTCTACATGCATGTATCATTAATTCGAAATATGTATGAAGTAAAATATGCTTATCTATCCGGAAAGTTTATTTCATCCGAACTTTTATTTTATATAAATTATCGTCCTGTCTCTTTTGAGTGAGTAAAAAGGTTTTACCCAAATGGTACCAACAAGGGTCAATGACGATAATAGTGATTGCATTTGTCAGACTTATTTCCAGAACCTGTATCCCTAAAAATGTTGATTTAGCAGTGTTGTAATAAACACGATTTTGATGAGATTGTACCCAAATATACGTATGTGAATAGCACATTTAAACACAAATTTAAAAGTAGATAGAGTACAGCTGACGAATGGTCTAAGACGTTAGTGATGCTAAAATAACGTTTTAGAGCGCTGATTTTCGCAATGGGAAATAAACTGCCAGTCAAACTAACGACGTTTTGTTTCTATTTATATTTCAGACTGGCTCATGAAGAGTCATGTTGATATATTATATTAACGAAGACAGAAGCAAATTTCAGTCCGCTAATCTACTTTCAGATGTACCTCGTTATTTAAACATTCGCTTTTTCTTCTGCTATATGAAGTTGGACATCTTTGATGCTCAAGCCTGATGATTTAGCTGTTGTTTAGTTTGTTCTTGTTTGGGAACGTAATTTTACTTAACTGGATTGTCCAAGATTAATTTTGGCGAGTTTTGTCAATGACAGAGAATATTCTTGCTTTTCCGGAAAACCCCTTGTAATTTTTAAGAGGCCTTCATGTAACTCTTTCTGTTTAGTTCTGGTGACGTGTCGTTATGTTCTTTGTTTTTTTTTATCAATACTGTTTTTCGGAACAATTATCAAAAGGCGTTTATTCAAAAGAAACGAATTTACTAAAAAAAAAATGCTTAGATAATTTCACACTTTTACATAAAAAGCGACAAGTTGAATTTTAATATGATTTTTAAGTATGATGACACGAGAAACTACTCTATTCGGCTGGTTTTGACAGTATTTGGTAAGACAGAAAATTCTTGTTTCAGATTTCGGAAATGATCATGATGATTTATGTGGTAACCGTATAATGTTCATATTGAATGTGTGCTACCGTTTGGTTACAAATCACTCCTTAGGTATTCCGCAGTGTTTTGTTTTTGTTTTTGTTTTCTTGTAATGAAAACTGTTGGCTGACCGCTCGCATTCGTGTATATTTAACCTCATTCATAGAAACTGCGTCATTACCTCCACACACACACACACACACACACACACACACACACACACACACACACACACAACAACAACAACAACACACACACACACACACACACACACACACACACACACACACACACACACACACACACACACACACACACACACACACACACACACACACACACACACACACACACACACACACACACACACACACACACACACACACACACACACACACACACACACACACACACACACACACACACACACACACACACACACACACACACACACACACACACACACACACACACACACACACACACACACACACACACACACACACACACACACACACACACACACACACACACACACACACACACACACACACACACACACACACACACACACACACACACACACACACACACACACACACACACACACACACACACACACACACACACACACACACACACACACACACACACACACACACACACACACACACACACACACACACACACACACACACACACACACACACACTAGTGGCCCAAAGCACATAGGATCTGACGTCTTTACTCTCTAGTGACCAATATTATCAGTTATGACGTCATCTGTTTCTCGTGACCATATTATAAAATTCTGACGTCAACTGTTTCTCGTGACAGTAATCATACATGGCTTCATTAGTTTCTTGTGATCCAACTCATAATCATATATGACATATGTTTAAGTGTGTGTAAATAGTCACCTGCGAGTGTTTACCGAAGGTGACTCATGTCTTGTCTCCAAATTGGTATGTCACATCATCAACACTACGGTTATACCACATAACAAGGATTGTCGACATGGACCAATGGATAAACCTCGTTATTACCCAAACATTAGTACGATATCGACAAAGTGAGAACAGACTAACACCAGTACTATACTTTAAGAGAACGCAAGGAAGTAGACAAGATTTAAATACGAAAACATAACGGCGCGAGGTCGATACTTGCCGTTGTCTTTTCGAGATTTCGCATAAAAAAGATAATAATTTTACCCATTGTCAAAAGTATTCTAATATGTTTTAATTTCTTTATTTATGCCCCGGACTGAAAGATAGGGGGCATATTGATTTTGTGCTGTCTGTTTGTTTGTCTCTGTTTGTTTGTCTAATGCCAACTTTAACCTTGCCATAACTATAGAACCGTAAGATGTAGGGCTTTCATATTTGGCATGTACATTCCTTGTGACAAGTCCCTTCCACTGGCACCAAACGTTTTGACCATGTGACCTTGATCGTAACCTTTGACCTACATTGGAAAAACTTAAACATTGACCTTTACTATTGCACGATGAAGACATAAATGTTTCACAAAGAGTGCATGGAATTTCACAGTACAGTTTTAATGTCCCGCTCCAGATTTTTTTGCAACCGGGGTCATAGCATTTCATAAATGCATCTTGTTGGTAATAGTAAGTATGTAAATTCGAAACCTAGGCTATGAATTTGTAAAGCAATCAAGGGCATTTTCTAAAGATTTTCAGTGAGGGCATGTATATTTATTTGCTAATATACAAAGTAATGATTATGATTGGTTTTGTAGGCAGGACATGCATAACAGAATTGTCTTAGAGACATGATATATCTGGATACCCTTGATCAGCCGTTAAGAAGCGTATCTTTAATTCATGATACGTTAGTTAATATAAATATTTATAGAAGCAATACTTGTTACATGCTCTTACTGTACATGAATAATACAACGCTAAAATACCGCAAGGACAATGCAAAATTCCATGAAAAAAGCTGAGGTCTGATTTCGGCGGATTTTCGCGATCTCGTCGATGTTATCTCAATTAGTTCGCGAGGGAGCGAGAACTCAGTACACGTCATTTGATATAAACTGGTCACCTTTTAAAAAATAATGAAAAAGATGAAATGAAGAATAGACATTTGAAAGTATTTCCTTTGAATCAGCTTCTGAAAAACTCAATATATGATCTTGAAGGAATTGCGACAAATAGCATTAATCCAGACATAATGAGTATTAGAGACAGTGTAATATGAACAATGAACATAACTAGATACAACCCTGGTAAAATACTAGAGGCAATATATCCCTCGGCCAGAGATAACTTCTCTTTAGTTCGATCGGCTGAGCGTCAGAGTAGTAAGCCAGGGTTCGAATCCTAACGGAGGCATTGAATTAAAAAATATCTTCGCTACATTGTCGCCTGGATTGCATAATTTATTTCAATGCCTCCGTTAGGATTCGAATCTGGTGAGAAGACACCGTGCCATGTTTCTTTTGGTCTACAAAGAGTTTGTCAGCTTTTGTGATAGCTCACACTGAAGGCGGGTAGTAGATATTACAGAGCGGACACTGGAATGTATTATCAATCAACTTACGTTATAATATGACACAGCTGATAAGATTATCCTTTATGTACACAATACCTGGTCTACATAACTGTCAGCCGGGTTACGTGTCAATCTGGTGAACATGACATTTTCAGTTTTCCTTAATCTCGCCAATGATCCCTGTGTCCGATAGAATGTTCCATGTACCTAGAAATATCTCCAAGCAAAGTCGTATATAATACATATACGAGTCTACTCCAAACATCCGTGACATTTACTTGTTCAATATATTACTTTTTAATTACTATTCGTTACGTGTAAAATGTTACCTATTTACTTGTGAACGATGTACTAGTTTACCTTACAGCCCTGACTCTTATTATATAATTAAATGTTTTACGTTACATGCCTTGCAACAAGCTTACATCCTGTATATGTACTATTTCCGATGTCGTCGGGAATTTCCAATTTTTTTTAGCAAGCTTCACAACGTGAGATACATTGTGTGAAGTCGCATTGTCCTTTGTATCAGAAATGATACGGAAATACGAAGCTTATTTTCAAATCTGGTTACAAGTCAACTCATGGTTGGTATAGGCATTCCAAAATAACCAATTGAAGTGGTTGGGACTTGCCATTATTGGTAACGCAGATGAACCGGTATCGCTTACCAATAGAACCAGTATTGGTACAATGAACATAACTTGAAACTTTTTGTGGTAACAATGGTGTTTAACCACATAAACAAATATATTTAATTTACTGAATAGTGGAAACTACATGTAATCTACATTTCATTTAATAATATTAATGATTTTGGAAACCGGTATCGGTCACTGACAACACCGGTATTGATTACAAGCAGAACCGGTATCGGTAACCGGAAAACTAAAGGGAACAAAGTTACAATTTTACATGGTTCTAAACCAAATAACTTGCACCATAGTGGTAATAATCTGTTTTCAGAAGTAAATTCAACTGGAGTTTCCAAGAAAATAGCAACCATGATCTGATTTTTTCCGTAATTGGAAATCTTATAGAAGACAGATGCTTTCGTGCAATTATACAAAGACAGGGTCTAAAAATAATGAGTGAAAACACAATCTCCAATAACTAATTGATAACTGAAACACTTT